GGAGACGCTGCTCTGCTCACTCGGGCCTTCCCGCTTATAAGAGCAGTGGCCAAAAATTGACCACACCTGCGCCACACCTGCGCCTACCTGACCCGGAAGAAGAGAAACACCCAACTCCCATCCACTAGTCAGTAGATTACTATGTTTAAAAAATTAAAAAAAAAAAAACCTTTGAAAAAGTTCCGATGCTGTCCCACCTAAGGGGAGGGAACTGAAAAACAGCAGTTGCAGCCCAAAGGCTAGAAATCTCTAGAAATCGGTGCCCTAATCTGGGACTATAGAACACTTCCCCTCCCCCGACACCTCACCACCATATAACTGAAGGTCAGTTTACAGTAGTTCCTTTACCTAGTGGTACATCATCTCCATCACAAGATTTACAAAAAGAAAAATATAAAATTTGAAAAGATAGAACGTCAGAACCAGACAAGGCAGGGATATTACCAAACCGAAGTTTACAACTATAATTAATAAACTAAGGACTCTAACGGATAAAGTAGACAGCATGCAAGAACAGACCACAGTGTGAGCAGAAAGATGGAAACCCTATTAGGGTTCTTTATTACAGAACTGAAAAGCATTAAAAAGCACTGCAACAGAAACAAAGAATGCTTTTGAGGGCATCATCAAAGACCCATGCAGCACAAAATCAACAATGACCTTACTGATGCAACTTGGTCTGAATGTCATTTAGAAAAATTAAGGGGAAATATTTTATTATTATTTTAATAATAAAAATGGAATCCATTTAAATAGTCATCTTTGTTACTTATCAATAGACTCCTGTTTAAAAACAAACAAACAAAAAAAATAATAATAACTCTGGTCATTAAAGGTGTTGGTATCTGAGCACACTAGGAATGCCAAGGGGTCTGGGAATAGACTCTAGAGTGCGTCGGACAAAAATTAGCTTACAACTACTTATTCTTTATAATTACTTAGGAAACTACTAATCTACTTTTCCCCTGGGCCATCAACTCACCCAGCCTGGACAGGAGGAAGAGAATACAAAAGGGCAGTCAGGAATAGCACTGCGACCTGGATCCATCCCATGCACCGCTTCTTGGAAGGAATAGACCCAGCAATGGCAACCTTCTCTGATACTATCTCTGTCTTAACACTCTCTCCTCGGCATGTATCTCAATGGAAAATGGGACCAATCAACCAATTTTGATGTTATAAATCTTTTCTAAATTACAACACCTATACTAGCAATTGTATAAGAGCATTGTATGTGAGTGGTTAATTAAGCAATATTTTGTTAGGCCTTACAGATAACCAAATTCACAGGGTCTTAGAGCAAAATTAGATGGAGGAGCCATAAGGGTGACATTTGCTTGTGTAGTTGGAAAGTTCCAAAGAAAACTGGTTTCAAGTGAGGTGTGACTCAGCAGCTTAACAAAATTACAAAGTTGTTCCCTTTTCCCGTTATCTTCCCCATGAATGCCCTTGCAAATAATTTTAATAATTTAAAAGATGTCTAGCTTCCATTCTCCTTTTCTCATCAGGACTCAGTTTTCTTTTGGGGAATTATTCTCCCCCCCCCCACCATTTTTAATTTTATTTAGAACATAATTCCACAGACCTGTCTCTCATCTTTACTAAAACTAAGAGACACAGATTTTACCACTCCCGTGCCTTCCCTTCCCCCCCTAGAATCATGGGCAGACATATGACTTTAGTTTGGACAGGCACATGTTCTCTTCTGGGTCTTTTGTTCTTCACCTAGTTCCATAAGGATGAAAAGAACAGGGCGAGTTCCACCCAGCTTAAATCCTGCCTCTGCTATTTCCTTGTTTTGTGGTCTCAGGTGAGTTGCTCAAGTGTCTCATCTATAAATTGAGTTTTGTAACAGTCTCACCCTTCCTAGGACTGTGTGGCATGTTACTAGAGTTCGTAATTTGTATGGATTTCATCTCTCAACTCTACAAAAGGATTATTACTGGATATGTTATGAAGATTAATGGGCCCTCAGTAATATCTATCCTGACTACATTTGATAAAAATTTCTATTACCTAATTACAATCTTATGAAGTAAGGAAAGCATCCTCATTTTATAAAAAGAAAAACCTAATGAGACACAATTTGGCTGAATGATATATCCAAGATCAACACCAGCAAGAAGAGAGTCCATTCAGACACAAACATATCCTTTTGGACCCAAAACTGTGGCTCTTTCTCCCATAGCACTAATTCCTTCAGTGATCTCAAAGGGCCTCCGGTTAAACTAAACACAATTTTGAAAAGATTGAGATGAAAGTTCCAGCCCCTAGATGAAAGAGCCTTGTATGTGGTTCTTAAACATTAATGTGCAACAGAATCACATGGAAAATGTGTTAAAACACAAGCTATTGCCCTAACCCCCAGAATGCCTGACCCAGTAACTCTGGGAAGCCTAGAGAATTGATAACCACTGTCTTAAGAGAGAATTAGTTGAGAACCAGCTTAGAGAACAAGAAAACATTTTAGGCAAAAGACTTGGAGATATCTGGGTGGGGGGAAAACAGAGGGCTAGGAAGGTCAGTTCCAGGGGCCAAGAGGAGATGGGAGGGCTGTTCACACTGGATAGAAGTGCCAGATCAAACTTTAGTTCACTCTTACCTTTGGCAAACTCCCTTCTCTAAGAAGAAATGGACAATTATTCTAAAATCAGAAGCTACCACAATGCACCCAATCTGAAATATATAAATTGTATAACCCTATAACCACTTTAAAAATTGAATTAGGAATTTTTAAATCTCAAAACACACACACACACACACACACACACACACACACACACACACACAAAACCTCTCCAGGACTTGGTTTCACTGGAGCATTCTACCAAAATTTGAAGGAACTAAATCTATACAAGATTTTCTAGAATATAGATGGGAGTGTTTCCTATTTATCTGATGAACTTTACACCAAAACCAGATAGAGACAATAAAAAAAAAGAAAAGGAAAGAACAAAAGACCAAGAAATCTCAAAAATGTAGACATAAAAATCTCTAGCAAAAATATGAGCAAATAGAATTAGCAAATAAAATAAAGAGAATTATGCACCACCACTGAGAGGGGTTTATTCCAGGGTTGCAAGGCTGGCTCTATTGACATACTTAAAAATAATTCATTTACACCAGCATATTGACAAGCAGTGCTTGTGGCCGCTAGGGGTCTCCACTGAGCAGCATCGTCCATCCCGCTGGATGGTAGCTCTGCCCGTATTCTGCAAGGGCTTGAGGGAGCAGATTTTAGTCAATGAAGGGTGGGAGCTAAGCAGAAAACCCTAGCTTCCATGTCTCGTGGAGGGATAGCTCAGGCTGTTTTACACAAACTTTGATGTGCTCATAACTCACCAGGGAATCTTCATAAAATTGAATTCTGACTCAGCAGGTCTATGGTGGAATCTGAGATTCTGCAGTTATAACAAGCTCCCAGGTGAAGCCAATGCTGCTCGTCTGGAGACCAAACTTTGACTCCTCTACCAGTGCTTTTTGCAACTTCCTCCCAAGTAAACTGCTTGCCTTCAAACTCTTGCTGGAGGGTCTGCTTCTGAGGGAAGCATTTTTCCCCTCTCTTCTTATGGTCCATGCTCCTTGTTCTCTGTTTTCTCAAAGCCAGATCAATACCATGCAATGTGACAGGGCAAACATTTCACTTCCTCATTTCCAGAATGAGGGGCCACACCATCTATGTTCCTTTCATTGCAACATTCTAGAGATATTCTCATTATTCTAGTGATCATCAAACTTTGCATACTCTTTGTGATCAACTTTCCTGCTCATGTACATGACCTTTTCAAAATGAGCTGCCTTCACAGAGGGCTCTTCAAAAGATGTCTCTAAACAGAAATAGAAAATAGAGCCCTTTTCTTTAAGCATAATAGCAAAAATCCTTGACAGATAAAAGATACAGCAAATGTTCACACATGCAGATGACATTTTCATTGTGATGGAGAAAAAAGACATTCAGAAAACATAAGACGAGTCATTTCAGGCAGAGGCTATTAAAATGAAAATCAGTGCCAAATGAACAAAAGATTTGGAACCATAATCAAAATCCATCTAAACAGGAGATAATACACATAAGAAAACACAATTCTGGGTTTGTGTATTGCATCCGCTTTTTGATCAAATGTCCCTAGACATATCTTTACAGATAAACTTTGACCCTTCCAGATAATTATTGTGGAAAATTACCTTCTCACACCTATGCTTAAACCTTCTTTGAAACAAGTTTACAAGAAACCAAGTGTACAATCCTATATGTAATATTACCACTATACTCACTGTCTTTTACCCAAAACATTACAATTCAATCTAAGCACAAATTTTATTTTCATTAGGTTAGTACATTTCCTAAAATATTAATAAATGAAATTAGTGCATGTAACCATCCATTATTGCTGTGTAACAAATAATCCCAAAATCACAATGACATTCAACAGGAGTCATGTCTCATTCACAAAACTGCAGGTCTGATGAGTGGCTCAGCTCCCAGGCATATGTCTGCAGGTTGACTGGGTCAGCAATGCAATATATGAACTCACACTGGCACCCAGATGCAAGGAAGCAGCGCCTTGGGCAACCTGCTCATGGCAGAGGTCAGAGGTTCTGGAAAATAGGAACAAGTGGGGTGGGGCTCATAACAAATGCTAGGCTCATAACTGGCACACTGTTACCTGTCCACATCCCGTTCAAAAGCAAGTCACATGATCAAGTTCAATATCAGTACCCTACTTTGTCAATCTCAGTTACCCCAGATGTGGCTTCCTCTGAAACAGAAGAGAGCTCTTTTTCTCCCTCCTCGTGCTATTCCCGGGGCGTTATTCAAGACACCCTAAATCTCTCCTGCCAATGCACCAGGCTACGGAGCAGCCAGCAGGGAGCGAGCGGGATTCCCGGCCGGGACCAGCAGCGGTAACTGTGCCCTTTGGAGCGGGGGCGGGCCCCGCGGCGGAGCCAGAAAACCCAGGCGCCTGGAGCCCAGCGGCTTTGCTCTCTCGGCCCCAAACATGGAGCCTCCCGCGACCCGCGAGGTGCACATGAGCCAGGCCATCCAGCCCGTGCATGCCAACCCCCGCGGCGAGCTGAGCGCAGGGCAGTTGCTCAAGTGGATCGACGCCACCGCCTGCCTGGCGGGTAGGGGCGCGGCGGGCGGGGGGCGGCCGTGGGAGCGCACAGTAGGGTGGGGGTGGGGGTTTGGAAGTGGTTTACGGGATGGAGAGGGTGGGGTGTCGGGGTCCGAAATGTGAGGAGCTTGGGGAGCGGGGGGTGGGGGGTGGGGGGGTGGGGGGTGTGCAGGGGTGGCGGTGTGGAGAGCCCCGGATGGGAATCTGAACTGAGACTCAGGAATGCCGGGGTGCAGGATGGAAGCAGGGGTCGAGCAATGGCAGAATCCAGCATGATAGACTTGGGGATAACCCAAGTGTGGAAGCCACATTTGGGGCCTCTGCTGGTCCAGAACCTGGAATGCGTGAGGAGACAGGAAAGCATGGAGCTGTGCGCCCTGGGTGAGGACTGAAACAGTTGGCTCCTCCACCTTGGGAACACCTAGATCAGCGCTTCTCAAATGTTTGGGGCTCAGAACGCCTTCAGCCCATTAATAAGGGACGACCCTAGGAAGATTTTTTTCAATCCATATTAACCATATTCTACTTCTTTTTTAAATCAATTAATTTAAGGTGAATTGATTTAATTAACATTTTAATTATATAGTTTATTGAAAAATAACCATATTTTCAACAATAATAAAAATGCACTTAGAGGCTTGGTACTGGTTTACATTTCTTCACATCCCTCCCTCCCTCTTTCCCTCCCTCCCTCTCTCCTGTCCTTCCTTCCTACCTACCCTCCTTCCCTCCTTCCTAACATGGGTTAACCACACTGTATGTGATTTGGGGGAAGGGTTCACGTCTCCTCAGAGGTATGTCACATCATCCCCACCACCAAAGCACATAGTCCTTTACCCTAGAATATTGGGCCTCTCCCTTTTTTGTTCCTGCCCCCATATTCCCTCCCTCTCTTAGAGCCTCAATTCTGCAGTCATTTCTAGGGTTGGTTTTGGTTTGTGTCCGTTGTTTCGTGTCTCTATATTCCTCATATGAGTGAAATTATCTGATGTTTGTCTTTCTCCCTCTGATTTATTTCACTTTAGCATGCTTCCCTCCAGTTCTATGTTGCTACAGATGGCAAGAGCTGATCTGTTTTTAAAAATTGCTGAATGGTATATTCCATTGTGTGTATATATACCAAATCTTCTTAATCCACTCCGCTGCTGTTGGACACTGTTGCATAACTTGATGATTGTAAATAGTGCTACAATGAGCATAGGAGCTAGATACAACTCTTTGATTTAGAGGTTTTGCATTCTTTGGAGTGGAATTGCTGGGTCACATGGTAGATCTATTTTTAATATTTTGAGAATCTCCATACGGGGTTCCACAGGGGCTGGACCAGTCTACCTTCCCACCAATAATGTATGAAATTTCCTTTTTTTTTTTCTTTTTTTAAATTTTATATAATTCTTACATCATTTTTCATTTTTGCATAATGTATGAATTTTCATTTTGGCTATATTCACCATACAATTATACCCCCCCCCTTATTTTGACCCTAATCCTTCCTCTCCCTACTCCCCTCACCCCCGCAGTGTGTCTCTGGCTTATAGTTGCTCGTTGATTTTGATTTTTATTTTGTATTAATTAGTCTTTTTCCTGGTCCCTTACTTAGGTTTTCTAAACTCCTGCTATGAGTGAGACCATCCAGTATTTTTCTTTTTCTTTCTGACTTATTTCGCTGAACATGATCCCTTCTAGTTCCATCCATGTTGCTGCAAATTGCATGAGTTTATCTTTTTTGATAGCTGAGTAATATTCCATTGTGTATATATATGTACCACATCTTCTTGATACAGTCATCTATTTTGGGGCATTTGGGTTGTTTCCATAGCTTAGCTATTGTAAATAGTTTTGCTATAAACATAGGGGTGCAGATGCCCTTTTGAATTAACGTTTCTGTGTCCTTTGGGTAAATACCTAGGAGTGGAATTGCTGGATCATATGGAAGCTCTATGTTTAGTAGGTCAAGATATCTTCACACAGCTCTACATAGTGTTTGGACCAGTTTGCACTCCCACCAACAGTGCAGGAGAGTTCCTTTTTCTCCACAACCTTGCCAACATTTGTTGTTGCTAGTTTTTTTAATATGTGCCATACTCACTGGTATAAATAGTATCTCATTGTAGTTTTGATTTGCATTTCCCTGATTACAAGTGATGTTGAACATTTTTTCATATGCCTGTTGGCCATTTGCATTTTCTCTTTGGAGAAGTTTCTTTTTAGCTCTTCTGCCCATTTTTTGACAGGATTATTTTCTTTCTTTCTTTCTTTTTTTTTTGTAGAGTCTCATCAGCTCTTTGTAGATTTTTGTGAAATTTCCTTTTTTCCCACAACCTTGCAGCATTTGTTGTTGGTGGTTTGTTTGGATTTTTGTTGTTGTTTTGTTTGTTTTTTGATATGGGCCATTCTCACAGAAGTAAGTGCATAGCTCTTTAGTTTTTGGTTTAATAGAAAATTTTCTTCTTACATCTGCTTCTGCATCCAATTTGTTGCCTGTTGTACCCTTAAATAATCTCTGCTCAGGACCTTTGTACATGCTTTTCTATTTAACTTTATATTCTTCTTTGATCCTTTTCATGCATTTCATCTCAGCTTAATATCATTTCCAGAGAAGTTTTTCCTGACCACCTGTTCACATTTGCACCCTTGCATCACTTTTATCACAATGCCCTTTCCAGCTTCCTTCATAACACTTAGCACAATCTATAATATTGTGGGTACTAATCTGTTCACCTCTTCATTTCCAGTCTGGCCCATTAGCATGTAAACTAGAGTTAGTTCTTCAGGGCTTAATAAGCACTAGGTTAAAAAAAAACACCTGATTTATATGAATGGTTAGTAGATGATGGGGCCAGAGCTTGGAATCTCATTCTTAAAAGGAATCCAGGCTTTGCATAAGGCCATCAATGAACTTGGCAAATGTATATTTTAATGTATATTTTAGAGTAAAGCATGTGAGGATAAAATATTAGAGCAGAAGGCACTTTAAAGATCATGTATCCTAGGACTCAGAGGACAAAAGTAAAGCTCTGATGGTTATGAAACATTGCTCAATGAGTGCTGAGTTCCTAATCCCCTGTGTGCTAACCACCTGCAAAACTCAGTCATACATCTGATGCCAATCTGTTTCTTGGCTTTTTATTTGTTGGTAGGTATATTTGGTTTTTGTCTTAACAGTGTTTATCAGGATTTAAGGTCAGTTATAATAACATAATAATGAAAATATGAATATAAAATTAATTCACACATAGCAGAAACAAGTATATAAATCACAGAGGTTGCTTGTAATAATAATAACACTGAGTACCGCCAAGGCAACTGATTACATTAATGGAAACTTCAAGTGACTTTTAAAGTGACCTCACTTAATGCCTCTGTCCTGTGATGGAGAGACAATTGTCTGCCTGCAATTGTCATAAGAATTTCTGTTTCACATCTTTGAAAATTCAGACCACAGAATGATTCAATTGATAACCAATTACTCTGGATCTTAATAATTATCAATAATACAGTATTAAAGACACCTTGATGGTAAGGTTGTTTTTGGAAACATGGATAATGCTTGTGTTAAACTCACTAGGGTAAGAAGAGGTACCACATAAACAAGGGACATTATTTAGCCAAAGTGTAACTGAATCTGTAACAGAGAAACACTCTACCTTAGTGCTTTACTTTATACAATGGGAGCAATACAAAAACTGGTTTTTCTAGCATTCTTTTTTTTCAACCACAGTTCCATATTGACTAGCACTTCTATGGCCACATTATTGCGATAAAGAATGATCACAGAAGGCCTCCAGGTAGTGCCAAAGTCCAAAATGTCTTCTCAATGTTTAAAGAAAGATTAAATATGTTCACTATAATTTTGGCGTGAGATCACCTATTTGTCAGTAGCCCTATTATTCCTCCAATTTCTTGTGCTTACAGGCTTAAAGCCATTCATGAGTCATTATCCATATACTCTATTTCTTACTGTAAAATATCCCATAAAAAATAAATATACCATATTCACAGTTTCTTCTCTATTTCACTTATGAATCTTTTCCAGCTTATGAAGGATTCCAGGGAATCCTTCATTCCCTTAAGAATGGCTCCAGATCCATCCCATTGTGCAAGTCTATAATCAGGAGTCATTCATCCTTGCTACCTCTCTATCTTGCTTTCCCTTCATATTCAATCTATGAACCAAGTATTACCAATGTTACCTTAAGGAACCTTTCCAATACAACCTCTTTGCTAAATTTCCACTGCTACACCTAGTCCAAGCTCCCACCATCTTTCATGTACTTTAGAAAAGTTTCCAAACTGGTATTCTCCATCTATTTTGTTCTGCTCTCCACATTGCACTTAAAATGCCTTTTGAAGGTGCTAATCTGCTCATGTCACATGTTCTGCTCATCTTCCCCCACAGACTTTTTTACCAAAGGCTATACAAGGGCTCCTCTTACAGCACGCTCAGTATGTTGTATAAGAAAAATTTTCTCTCATGTAACAACTATACACTCGGGGGAAAAAAACACATTTATATAAAAGCAAATAATCAGTGAACAAAAGTAGGCTTAGAACACTTGGAAGTCAACACTTGGAAGAAAAGAATGGTAATAGCTAATTTTGTCCTTTTTAAAAAAAGACTACACCTAAATAAGGACCTCCTATTTTCTCCCAGCTAAATTTCTTTCAGAAAACACACAGACTTGTTAATTTGAAAAGCCATAAAATTTGGGGGAAACACAGCCACTAAAATGTGATGGGCAAATTCAAGAAAAGAGAGAGCCAGAGAAGCAGAGCCCAAAAACTCATCTATAGTCTTTGCTTGAATCGCTGATGAACCTTAAGTCATATATGCATAGGACAGAGTCTAAACTTCCTACCCAAAGCCTAGTCCCATCTCTAAGGAGACAGCTTTATCCTTTAACTAAGACAACTTAGTTAACTGTCTACTTAAGTAAAAAACAAATACTCTCAGAAGATTAAATAAAAACCCCTGGTTTCTATAACTTATCACTCACAATGGCTAGATACAATTCAAAATTACTTGATATACAAAGAAACAGAAAAACATGACCCATTCTTAAAAGACAATGAAGAAACAAAAAGACAATGGATGGAGACCAATACATAGGTGACCTAGGTATTCAAATTAAGCTTCAAGGATTTAAAAGCAGTGAATTATAACTTTGCTCAAGGATATAATAAAAGAAAATATAATCATAAGTGATGAAAAGATAATAAATCATAGCAGAGAAACTATTAAAAAAAAAAAGAACAAAACAGAAATTCCAGAACTGAAAATTATAGTATCTGACCCAAAAATTCACTGGACAGAATTAATAGTAGAAGGAGCAAGACTGAGAAAAGAAATAGTAGCATAAAGATGGGTCAGTAGAAATTATCCCATCTAAAGAACAGAGGGGGAAAATTAATGTTAAAAATGAACAAGGTATCAGAGATTTCTGAAAAAAAAAAAAAAAAAAATCAAAAGGTGTAGAATACATGTCACTGGAATTCTAAAGGAGATGAGAAATAACATGGGGCAAAACAAAATATTTTAAGAAATAGTGGCTGCAATTACCCTAGACATGGTAAAACACACCCATTTACAGTTTTAAGACAGCAAAACACTAAGCAAAATTATTACAAGAAAATCACATGAAGGCACATCATAAGCAAACTATGATGAAGAAAAAAATTCTTGAAAACAGCCAGAAAAAACACATTAGATAGAGGAAAACAATGTTTAAAATTATCTGGCCTCACCAAAAACAATGGAGGCCTGAAGACAGTGTAACCATACCAAGCAAGAGCGTCAAGGCCTTGTGCATGACCTGTCCTTCGTCTTCCCTTCAGCCTTTTATCAGCCAGTCGTCCTTTTGATTTCTTCATGATAGCCACAAAGATCTTCACTAGGGCCCTTACAGTCACAATTTCTTCTGTTCAGCATGCTCTCCCCTTGCTTTTTTTCTCTCAACATCTATTTTACTCCTACTCATCCTTCAGATCTTAGTACATCCTCTCCACATCCCACCTAAGTCTGGCTCTTTAGTTTCTTACCCTCCTAAAATCCATGTTTTCTCCAGAGCACTTAACTCATTTTTGTTATTACGTATTCATTCATTTAGTACCTGGCTCCTCTATTGGACACCATGAATACTGGGATCAGGACTGTTTTATATTTCCACACTTTACATAAAAGCTGGCATAGTACAGGTGTTCAGTCAAAATTAGTTATATTAATAAATAAATGGAGATACCACCAATTTTACCAATCATCATCTCATACCTGGGTGATAGCCACTTAGCTAGTCTACTATTCCTCAGCTGCTCTCAGCTTCTCTTGGAAGTAGTTTAAGGGTTCATTTTTCTTGGCTTACTGTATGAAAGACAATCAAAATCAAGAATCAGAATAACAGACGCACTTGTAAAAGGAAAACTATATCATATCAATAAATATCACACATAAAAATTATGACCCTATGTTGATTTCCACATTTTTTTCCCTTTTAATTTAATGGTCTTTGAAAGTCTATAGGGTAAACCATGTCTGTTGTGCCTGTGAATGCTATATTTAGCCAACTACTTCTCTAGGGAGAATTTCTTGGTTGGTCTTTTCTGAGAGTTCCTATTGCTGCTATAGTTTAAAAAAAAAAATCAGTGCTTAAAATAAATGTATTTCATCTCACTAAGCCTAAATTTCTTATTTGTAAAATAGAACTAACAATACTCATGTAGTTGACATCTTTAAATACTTATTAGCTCAGAACCTGTCCAATAATAAATGCTTAATTAATGGTAACTATTATGATTTTATTTCTTCTTGAGCCCTTTCATAATCTAGTGTAGTACAATATATACCTCACTAAGATATCCAATATACACAGTATTTTAGTCATTTACTGGTTATTGCACTTCAGTTATCATTTAAATCATTCAAAATTGCTAACTCCTGGGCCTCCCCTGGTGGCGCAGCGTTTGAGCCCTGGACTGCGAAGCTGCCAGTAGCCTCTGCAGTACAGGTTCCATCCCCGGCTGCCTGCGAGGGTCCCACATGGCGCGCAGACCTCTCCTGCCGCCCGCTGCTCCCCTCAGCAGTGTATTTCGTCAGTCTACCTGTTTCTCTTCCCCACTCTGGCTCTGGTGAATTCTCTCACCCTCCCGCCCTTCTGACTGTACCCAGTGCTTGTATAATGAATAAATAAATCTTTAAAAAAAAATGCTAACTCCTGTTGGTGTATATGGGAACATTTTATTAATAAAAATAGTCTAATAAACCAAATATCCCATTCTCTCGTGTTAGGTAACTGGAATGGCTACCTATTAGGTGTCCTTTAGTCAGTGTTTTACAGGGCATTATTTGCAAGAGTCCAATAGTTCTCTGGAAAACTTAAGTTCCAAAAGGGCACTGACTATGGCTGGATCACTTAACTGCCACTGAGTACACTTGTTAAAAGATAGGTCTGATTCAGCTCAGTATCTGTTAATCAGTGGCAACTTAACAAATGTTTGATACGCTGAATTAAACTGGGCCCATCTTGAGTATTTCTTTTACAATCCCTTAGGCTCACTGAAATCTACAGCTGGGAGCCCACCCTCCCTGCTCCATCACTCACAGGGCTCTTCGGTGGTTCCTTTTATGGTAATTCAGTTTATGTGATGGCCCATTTGGAAGGACAGTCATTTCAAACTAGTAAAGCCAGAATGTTCAAGTTTCTACAGAATTTGATCATAGAAGGAATGGTTTAAATATTTGCTTTCTGGCATGTTTTCTCACCTCTTTTTATCTGGGACTTATCGATTAATTATAATATTAAACATTAAAATAATGCATTACACACGAAGAATACAAATGTACTACACACAAAGAATACAAATTCACTGTCATTTTCTTTTTCAAATGTAGCACCAGGAATGAAGTATCCAAAATTAAAATGGAGTAAATAGTCCTTTAAAAAAGTCAAAGCAATCTGTTTGGGTTTTAATTAACTGTTCCTCAAAAATCAAACGCTGTCAGAAAACTATGTCAAAAATTTTCCCAAAGAGAATAAATTTTGAAATTTTTCTTTAAAGCAAAGACAACCATCAAAAAAAGTCTCAACAAATTAAAGGCAGACATGGATCACAGAAGTAACTGTAGCGCCTCCCAAATCTCTCTTCACCCTATGCAATATACCCTTTCTCCTATATAATCAATGCAGAGTGAATTTGATAATAATCAGTAACATATATGGCTAAATACTTACGATATACCTATCTCTATTTCTCTGTTGCCCAGAGAAGTTCCTCTTTGACTGGGGGTGTGATTTCAGGGTCTCCCATACTTTTCAGTGTTTATACTGTTTAAGTGGTTTAAAGATATTCAGTTACTGGTTATGTGGGATAACAAATAAGGTACTGATACATTCTTTTTTAGCACAAAATATTTAAAGTTGGCACCAACTTAATGAATTATTATTTAAATAGCTAGGCATACTGGTATTGGTATTAGATTTTAAATCAAAGATAGTATAAATTAAAACAGGAGTAATTTACATGCAGAAGAAATATAACTTATAGAGCACAGTTACTGTTATGAATCCAGATCATCCAGAAGAGTGGGCATAAAGGTCCCATATTGAACAAAAGGATGTCTTATTCTTTTTCCCTTATGCTGAAACATAACTACTCATGCAGCATATTTTTAACCTATTTTTTGAAGCTGAAAAACATGCTGGGGTTTCCTGTGTTACAGCCTCAGTGGATGACATACAATTTGAGGAGACGGCTAGGTAAGTGGCATTGCTCTGTCAAGCCTTTCTCCTGGGTTTATTGGTTTATTTGTGACACATATTTGTGATACCAAGCTAATTTATTTGGAATCATTGATCCAATGTTAATAAAATAAATAGCATTTGACCCAATGTAAATCAGTTTAAAATAATTTCAGGGCCAACTTTTTAGATACTGTGATTTATACTGTTGAGTGTAAATACATTCTATTTTGATGAGAAATAGCTCTCGGCATTGGATACATTCTGGTATAAGGCATAGCAGGATTTTCACAAGCTGATTCTTAATGGCTCCTCCTTTACTAGATGAATAATTAATGATAATAAGTATCTCTGTGATGGTGAATTTCATCATTAGGTTGTTGGGTAAACACTAATTCATCTGAGTAGAGATGGTAAATTATGAAAAATATTTTATGTGTGAGTGTGTATGTGCTTTAATGTCTTATAGAAAATTTAAAGATATATAAATATTTCAAACATACACAAAATAGAGAGAATGGTACAGTTTGTTCCTGGGGACCTATCACCTAGGTATAACAATAATCAAGTCATGCATACTTGTCTTTGACCAGTATACCCTCCATAAGCCCCCACATATCTGAATTATTTTGAAGCAAATCCCAGGAACACCTATTTCAGTATATATTTCTAAGGTAAGGGTTCTTTTAAAAAAATCAAATCACAATAACGTTAACGGAAATTATCATTCCCAATGGTTTCCTGTTAAGAGCAATAGTATCAAGTGATAATTTCCTAGAACCATTATTTCATTGGATATTGGTAAAATAATAACATGCTAATTGTATCATTTCTTCATTTATTTCCTGAAATACTTTTCAAGGAGATAGTTTCTCTCATTAGTGACTTAGTTACCATGAGGTAAACTTTGTCCAGGGAAGACAGACTTAATTCTTAGGAGTCCATGAACTTTAACATACTCGATGGTTTCAATTCTGATGTGATTATCCTTATGGATGCTCAAACTACCCCATCTTTTAGCAGGAAATTTCTGCAGTTTGGTTCCCAAGCCTATGTTGTCATATCATGAAGCAACTTTAGAAGGCTTTAGTAATTCCTTTGCTTTCTGATGTGACAAGACAGGCTCATCATTTCCTCACACAAACTTAACCAGAAATTTCTTCAAAAGAAATGATAAGTAGAGATCACAAACTGAGCATGAGAGGTACTCACTGATACAGGTCTGGTCATAATGTCTAAGTCTTCTCAGTGCACAGAATTAGGGATTATATGTTTGTTAAAGTGTTTATACTCTGCAATGCTTTACTTATTTTCAAAAAACTGCATGGCATTACATTTCATTTGGTGTTCCAAGTGAAGACTAATCTTCAAACTTATCTTGCTCATCTAATGCCAGAACTAGTTGTAATTCAGTAAATATTTGTTAAATGATGCATTAGTAAAAAATGAAATTATTGATATTTTAGGAAGCCTGAATATAAAGAATTAGGGGAAAATAACTTGATATAATTGACCTGAGAGAAAGATTTGTAAAAAGAAGACTTGAACATTTTAATAGACCAGTAAGGAGATTAGGAAAAAGGCAGAGACTGCAGGTATAAAAGAGGAGAAATAATGGGGGCTTGGGATTGGGGGCACAGATAAAGAAAGATCTTGAAAATATGTATCCTTCTTCCTCTGAAAAGGAAGAGTAAGGGCAAGAGCAGTGAGAACACAGTTCCACTTTGAAAGCCTGGAAGAAAAGTGAGGATACTCTTTTGGGTAGACCCTTACCATCTGCAATGGTGAAGGGGTCGGGTAACTGAGGGGGCATGAACACAAAGGTGTGGAATAACTTCCGGTTCCATGGCCAGCGTTCTAGTAATAACGAGGAATGAATAGATCATCTGGAATCATTGAAGGCCCATGTGAACTTATTGAAGTGGACCAATTTGTTTGCTTGCTTGCATGTATGTTTATTCACTTATTTAATAACTAATATTTAAAAATAAATATCAGTGGTATTGGTTTGCCGGTGTGCTTGTGTTAACTTCCCTTAAGGAAAAATCTGCATAGTGTCAGTTATCTGTTGCAGATTTGTAAATCATTTTGCATAATATCTTTGCAAAGGCCCTTTTCTGTTTAAATAAAGGGTAGCAGCTAATTAACATATGTGTGGTTTACAATGATCAACATCTGTTTTTAGTAATGTCTTTGTCTGCTATCATTAACCTAAGTTTTTCAGGCATGAACATTATCAGCATGTTTACGGTGGATCTGCTCTGTGGGACATACATTTAAGTAAAGTTTTAAGTCTGAAAGGAGATGTGCTAGGATTACGGAGTTTCTCGTTCCCCCCCTTTATTCTTTTATAGAGTTGGACAAGTTATAACCATCAAAGCAAAAGTTAGCAGAGCATTCAGCACAAGCATGGAGGTAATAGGTTCCCTTTGAAACTTATGTCTCTCTCTCTCTCTCTCTCTCTCTCTCCTGCTTCTTGGCTTTTCCTGGAGTCCCTGTTACGCTGCTCTTAAAAGCCCAGTCTTAGCCCAGGTGAATCCCATGTACATATGCCCACACCCTATTCCAGGTGCCCGCCATCAGGCATGCATTTAGGACCAAAGATCCGTCATCTATCCTAATGGTGGGAGGGCAGAAAAGCCTGATACTTTTACCATTCCCTACCCAGCCCCTTTGATTTCTAGACACAAAACATCCTTTATAAAGACTTGTGTTGATTTTCTGGGGCTGCCATAACCACAGCAGCCTATTTGGCTTAAATGACAGAAATTTCATATATATATATAAAATATGCAAATAATGCACAACATATAAAATATACACTATAATATATAACTTATATAATATATATATTAATCTCAGTAGTGGGTGAGATTACTGGTAGTATTTACCCTGAATTGTGAGCTTCCATTTTTATCACTCAACTTTTCCTACTTTCCAAATTTTCCATGGTAAATAAAAACTTTTCTATCATCAGGAAAAAACAGATATTTTTCCAATATTATAGAACATCCTTAAAAGGACAGTGCTGCTTAAAAATAAATTTAAATGCTAGTTTCATTAAAAAAAACAAAAGACTAATGAAATATGTAACTGCATTTTTAATTACTATACTCTCATCTGTTATCTGCATGGCTGAGAGCTTATTTATTTTTCTTTTCATTTTAGATCAGCATCAAGGTCATAGTACAGGACATGCTCACTGGCATTGAGAAACTTGTAAGCGTGGCTTTCTCTACATTTGTAGCCAAACCAGTTGGGGAAAAAAAGGTAAATTTTCTCTGTGAAGAGGTGTTTTACATCTACTGCGGGGTCATATTAACAATTGCATCAGAATTCTAATTTTAAAAGGCACGTTTCTTCTTACCATGTGATACGGTTTCCCAAGACTTGTTATTCACCAGTATTTACTGTGAAAGTTATCAATCTGTGGTAATATTCAGCAGCTTAGAGCAAAGGGGATGTAGCCAGTTTCTGAAAGAGGAAGAAAACATTTATGTTTTAGATGATCTGGAGGTCATATTAGTTTCTTAAAAATATTGCCTACAAGTTTAGTTCTTTTGTGGTTATAGAAGTTAAAATTGAATTGAAATAAAAATTTTTTTAAAGCAAAAGCAATTTAGCAAGCAGTTGCATGTTGTGGTCCAATCATTTTTTTACACCTAAAGGAAGAATGTCAAAGTTGCTGAGTTATTGAAGTTTAAAAATAAGCTTCAGGACATATGGGGTAAAGACACCCTCAAAAGAAATACATTGGCTGGATATGCATGCCCAGCGGGCTTGCCTGGCCATTGGCCCAGATCAGCTTGTCCATAAGCTGTTGGGATGATAATGATTCATTATAATTTCTTGTCTTTCCTTTTTAAGGTCAGGGCGCCTGGGGGAAGGCTCACATTGAGTCTAAACATTTTTTTAGTGTAATAATTCAATTTAAAATCTAAATCTTTTACTCCAAGGATTCTCAAGAATTGGCTTTTTCCTAATTACACATTTGAAGCCACTAAGCAGTGCCTATCACTCTGCAAAATGTTCTTCCTCAAACTGCCTCCAACTTTAAGGCCAAGACCGAAGCAAAGATCTCATTGTTTGCAACAGAAATGACAGCAGAGTTGCACACCCCAGCTCCTTCTCACTTGGACCAGGAGGCAGAGTTAGCTCACCAGGGTGCCTAATGATGGTGGTCCTGCAGAATTTTGTACACCAGGACAATCTGTGCCCAATACCAACAGGCCACAGGCAAATTCACTGTGCCCGAGACATTGGTTTTCAAACTGAAGTTCAACCCAACTTTATTATTAAAGTGCAGCTTTCTGGGTTTCATCTGAAAACTGCTGAATCAGAATCACTACTACAGGAGTTGGGGTGGTGTAGTTGAACAATGCATCATAGAAATTAAAATGTAAAACATTGAGATAGGTCTTGCCAACTGTTCTGTTTTTCCTGGAACCACAAAAATCTCTAAACTCTTGGAAACCAGAAAATATGGGGATGGGTGCTCCCATATCTCAGAGCAAGTGACAGAAAGGAATCCACCTCTCCAGCCCATTCCTTCACAAGGAAGAGCAAACAAGGGCCATCCTTTTCGCCCTCCAACTTCAAACTTTTCACTCCAACTTCAGGGATTCATGGACTAAGAATAAAGTAGTCACACTTCAGTCCAGTAACTGCTGAGCCTAAAGAACTGTTTTCCAAAAGTGTTTCTGGGAGTCAGGTGCCTTACAGTGCTACCATCAGGGGTTGGCTCAAGTAACCTTTTTGTAAAGCACCTTTCCCAGACTAACTTTTCCAGTTTATGTACTCTTGTTCAGTGGAACATCATAATATGAGCCATGAAAAATCAGTGGTTTGGTTTGAACCAACAGGACTCACTGGATCTCTGTCCAAGTGAGTTTATCCCAGGATGAGATGGGCAATGATTAACTAGGCTTAGTTCAACAACTGCACAGGTCAGATCATTGAAGGACTTGCAAGACTCCATAGGGTACATTCACGCCTGACCTTGAAGCTAAAGGAGATGGTACAATAGAAAAAGCACAGGCAAACTTCCAGAGAGACACAAAAGATTGTGAGGCATGGCTCCCAGGGTCCTTTTCAGTCAAAAAGAATGTACTTCATCTGTGATTGGAGAGCTAAGGCACAAGTTTACCATGTGGTCTTTTATATTTACTGGTCACACAACTAAAACAAAGTTGTGTAAAAAGTTAAAACAGTGCAAGCAATCAGTCTATACTACCTTCCTAATTGAATTAGACAGGCAGTCCAGGGGAATTTTAGACTTTAGGCAACATGTTATAAATCAATAGCTATTTCAACCTTTTTTGGCCAGGGGTCAGCACCGGTCTTTGGGTATCCTGGAAATAAGCAGGCAGCTCCCCCAGCCAACTTGCATGGTATACATTCCCTATACATACAGGTCAGCAGTCAGACATCTGTGGAGGAGTTTGAGCCCTTGAGTTCATGCTGGTTTCTAGAAGCTGGTTAAAGCTTTATTCTGACATAGATTCTTTGTTTGCTTACTAATTAAAGTTTTTACCAGGTGATGAAATTTCCAAATTGGGAATATTTCTTGGCACAGGATAGTTTTCTAGGGTACACTTTTATTCCTTCTCTTTGATGTCTTACTTGTGGAAAAAGTAGAAAACATCTCTTGATAAGAATTCACTTGGGTCTCATTACCTCTCCTGATTCATTAAATTGAAGAATTTGTTTTGTAGTTCTGTTGAAATTTTTTTAAATTCAAGAAAAATTAATATTTGGAAAGCTTTTTAAAACTTCATATATATACCTGAGGGGGTAAGGGGAAGCAAATATTGTTTAAAAATGAACAATGATGTAAAAAATTAATAAAAAAGTCATATATATCTTATTTTATGAAGAAACAAGCCTATATTTATCTTTTTATTTAGTCAAAATAATGTAAGTAGAAACACCCAGAATTAGAATTAGAATGTTTACTTTGAATTAGAAAAAGATGTAGCATATTACTTGTTTTTGCAAAACTCATATTGTGCATTTATACTTCAAGAAAGCAATGAAATAAGAAAGTTTTTCTTTCCCTAGATTCATTTAAAACCAGTCACACTTCTAAGTGAACAAGATCATGTGGAATATAATCTGGCTTCTGAAAGAAGGAAAGTTCGATTACAACATGAAGACACCTTTAAAAACTTGATGAAGGAAAGTAGCAAATTTGATGGTCAGTAAATCTCTTTAGGAACGTTTTAATTATATGACTATGACAGGTGAATGGGATATTTTCTTGGAGCACACTTATTTTCAGCTTATCATTTCAATTCTATCATAGAGATGCTAGGTATCTCTGCCAACAAATCCAGTGGCTGGAGAGAAGGATCTGGCTATTCAGAATAAAATTCTGACACCTAAGAACCATTTAAATCAGAGGGTCACCAGGAAAGGAGACAGGAAAGAAGGGCAAAAGAGACCAGAAGCTCCTTATTAGTAAGTGTGCACTCATAATGATCAATGATTGAAGAAACAACAATCCAAACATCAATCTGGTGCTTCATGGTTATTAAACAGTTTCTCATCCATTATTTTATATGCTCTGCATATAGTCCTAATAAAGGAGGAAAGTGAAACTGAACAGTTAAGAAACTTGCCAATGACTTCATGAGCCAAAGTTTCTTATTTATCTGGCTGTGATTTCCCCAGCTCTTTGAAATGTTGTGGGACTAGAACAGTAGAGAAAGGAGACTCACACTGTCTCTCCCCTGTCTTTCCTTCATATCTGACCTACCTGCTGAAGCCCAGGAGAAATGACCTCTGATGGCGAGCAAAGTGGGGGAGAGGAGGAAGTGTAGTTAGTGGTCCAGTCCTTCTTGCCCCAAGTGACATCATCATGGTCTGAGACAAACCCACAGATCTCCAGGTTGGAAACGAGTTTTTCAAAGACTTCTACATATAACTGACCTTGTAAAAAAGACAATGCCTGTTATCGGCATTGGGTTAAAATTAAATCACTGTGCTCAGAAGATAACATCACAGCTCAGTTCCAAAATATGTTTTGAATACAATTTGCTAAGGTAAGGAAATAGTGGCCATTACAGCTCTTATTGCTGTTTGGCGATTTCAAAGCCTTTGCTTTCAGGGGAAACTGATGCACTGAATTCTAAGTGTCATCTAAACCAGCCAGAAGTGTCTCCCAGCAGTGCTGGCATTTGACAGGAACTGTTTTCTCACGGTGTTTTCCTGTACTCCAACCATTAGAGGTCGAATCTGTTCCTTGGACCCAGTTCCACAGGATAGGGGTGCTTCTGTCGCCCACTTACTTCTCTTATGGCTTACTTACTCCTAAGCTTGGATCACTAGACTCATTGGCTCGTTTACTTGCAGCCCCAGTTCCTAGCCAGCATGGAGCTGCATATTTATTTTCTTACCAGGGACCTATTGCCCATACTCAAGCCATCGAGTTTTGCTCTGTTGTCCCCATTCACTGGGGCAAGATTAAAGACAAGTACACATAACTATAAAAAGCACAGTAAAGGTACTGATTACTTAGTAGGTTTTTGTAAGGATTAAATGGGTTAACATAGATTGCTTAGAACAGTGCTGGACATGTAAGAAATTGTTATTGTTATCGCTATTTGAGAGGTTTCCATGTACAGGAAGGATTGCAGGCAACAGTTAAAGACTATTATTAACAAAGAACTTGACTGTGAAGGTGGAAGACATGGCCTGGAGCTAGAGTGGGCCTTCAAGGTCAACAGGCATTGTTTTTCAGAAGAGAAAATATTTGGTCACTGTTACAGGCTGATTAACACTAGATAATAAAATATCATTATTGAGGAAACGTTGATAATATCATTGTTATCAAACCTATACATCAAATACATAAAATTATCATTTCTTTGTCCTAGGAAGGATTTATGATGATCTCTGCTACTCTGGCTTTTCTCAAAAATGTCAGTTCATTGGAAAGTGTTGCTAGGCCTAGTGATTAAAACCTCCTTCACACCCCACTCATAGCAAAGTGAGCCAGGTGAACTTGACTGGCAACATTGGGGTCTTCTGTGTTACACAAATTATACTAATAAACAAAATCAGCAGCAATCGTTGCGTGCCGCTCCACAATACCAACATTACTTTACATACTAGAGATGTTCATACATACTATAGTCATTCAAATATTGAGGTAAAATGATTACAATTGACTTCCACTTCAGATAGGAAGTTGAACAGGATAGATCTATATGGTTGGTTCAATTTGTAATTATATATTTTTTAAAGTCTGTTTTTATTATGTTTTATCTAGTGCACCCTACCACAGATTATTCTACATTCCTTTGCACAACTTAAACCTAACTTTATTGATTTGTTCTTTTGAGAAACTTTACTAGCTTTCATGCTATCCAAGATATCATAGAACTTAAAAGCAATTTCTCTTAAGAATGTCAGACCCCTAGAACCTAAAGTTGCCACAGAGCGTATAGTTTGTCCACCTGCTGCCCTGCAAGTCTGAGGAAGTTGTTTTGAATTAGACAATATGTTCTAATGGAAGACAGCTAGATCATCTTTGTTACTGAGCTGTATTTTTAGATTAAAAAAAACAAAACAAAACAACCAGCATTCTGCATTGGTTGTAAAATCAGACATAAAAGATTGGAGTCATTTTCTAGATGTTGTATGATTGAATCCCTGTTTTTAAAAGATGAGAAACTTGAATTCAAATCACATGCTTTCAGAAGAAAAAAGAATAGGAGACTGGATTATGTGAAAGCAGTACTTTTTTGGGAAGGAGCTCTTGTACCACTGGGTCATTGTTTAGAAGCTTGGCATGTATACAGGCTTAAGATTAGGAACATTTAAATTATGTTTAGTAAGAAATCAAATCTTCAGTATGTTAATCCTTTCTGGTTATGAGAAAGAAAAATAGGTCTGGAATAACCTCAATTCAGGTCTAAGTTCCTGATCTGAAAATATGGGGTGAATGTAAAATTATCCAAGCAGAATGGTGACACAATATTTAATGAACATCCAAAGTACAAACGTGAAACTGACCACTGGTCAAGTATGTCCCTATTTGGAAATCTACATAAAGAATGAAGTCTGTTTACTGTCCTCAACTCTGGGGACACAGCCGAACCTGAGAGAGCCTATTTCTTCATTCGCTGGCAATTTCCTGCAAGTAGACATACTTCTTTGCACTGAAGCCACCTATTCTTAGTATGTCTTTGCACAAATCACAGCTGATGCATGTGACATATGACCTGTCCTATGACCCACCTCCTCATGTCCCAGTGTCTGCCAGATATGTCTTCACAGGAAATGAGTAGATTTTTCTTTGAAGTTAACCCTGAAAGTAAAAAGAGTTGCCCTATATTTGAGTTTTCACAATATCGCTTGTATTATAAGGCTCTCAATTTTTTATTTTAAAATTATTTTAAAATTATTTAACAATAGGTAATATATGTACAGGCTGAATAATGCAAAAGGGTAAGAGAAGAATCAATTAAAAGGTCAAGTATTCCTAGCATCCATGCTGCCCAGTTACCCAGTTCCCATGCTCAGAGACAACTGTCATACACATACATGCACACATTAGCAGATACTAATAACATCTGAAGCAAATAAAATAGATATTTCAGTAAGAGGTAACAATATTAAGTTATACACCTACCTTTCTTTTTTCATTTAACAGTCTTTTTCAGAGATAATTTATATGAATTAATTTCAAAGGACCACTTGAATAATAGAAATTAACCTTAAAAACTCAATCAATACCAGTTTGGGATGTTTATAGAACATCATCTAACAAAATCTTCTAATCATCTAAAAATATGTTGACTCCGTGTCTGGAAAAACTAATATTTTGAAATAAAATTTTACAAACATCTTTGCAAACACACACATCTCAGCAGGCAAAAAATAAGAAAAAATCTTGAAGTCCAGAAATGATGAGAAAACCCAAAGGAAACAATGTTGGTAGTACGAACTTTGAATGTGGAATAAATCAACAAAGTTAGGGCCTCCCTGGTGGTGCAGCGGTTGAGCACTGGGTTGCGAAGCTGCCTGCAGCCTCTGCAGCGCCAGTTTGATCCCCGGTTGCTCCCTGGCCACTGGAGGTGGATCCCACATGGCGCGCAGACCTCTCCTGCCACCCGCTGCTCCCCTCAGCAGTGTACTTCGGTCCTTCTGCCTGCTCTGCTCCCCGCTCTGGCTCTGGTGAATTTTCTCACTCTCCTGCGCTTCTCACTGTACCCAGTGCTTGTATAAATAAATAAAATAAATAAATAAAAATAAATCTTTAAAAATTAAAAAAAAATCAACAAAGTTAAATTTATTCATTTAAAACATTTTTACTGAGCACCCATATTCAGTAATTATATTAGAGTAAAAACAAATACATCACAGCCCAAAGGAGTTTAGTATTGAGTGGGTTGGATAATCAATTACCACACAGACATAAAACTATAATGATGTAGGTACTTATGGATAAGGGCTCATAATAGTGGGAATTAACTATGGAGGTTAGCGAAGTCTTCCCTGAGGAGGTAATGACTGAGCTGAACCATGAGAGAATAGGAGTTAAGTGGGAGAAGGTGGTGGTAGTGACCAGAGGAATTGCTTCTGACAGGGAATGTGTGCAAATGCCCTAATGTTTAACGCAGCACTAAATTGCAGTAAATAAATATAGGTCAGGGTCATTGGAACAGAGAGAGACCAAGATTGAGAGAGAATACAAGGCGGGGGGGGGGATTGAGCAGTTAGTCATGGGCGAGACAAGTTAACAAGGGCTTGTAAGTCATAACAAGGATTTGAGTTTTTAGACTTCAACAACAGGAAGTAAGCTACATGTATTTAAACAGGAATTAAATGATGGATGGAAGTAAGGAGAAGAAAATAAAAGATCATCGATGCATTCTAAATCTAAGAATTCCACTAAGAAATTAAGTTTAAAATCTCTGTAACACATTTCTCTCTCTTATATGTGGCTGTGCCATTCCCAGTTACCAACAGCTGCTGGGTGTAGTGTGTGCTTACACTGCAAGCTCAGCTCTGCCTCTGACACTACAACCAGTGTGGTACCCCTGAGTTGAAAACTCTCCCCACCCGTACTTTCTCAACAACAGCACAAGACATTTAAGTCTAACTGGTGATTCACTTGATGATGCAGGAAGCATAATTGAATACATTTTACTGCTTTGCAGCCAGAGTAAATGATTTCTCCATTGTGGAGTATAAAAACCAATTTGTCAAAAAATGAAGCAGATATGATTCAAAGGAAGCAGAAGGACACTAAAAAAGTACAATGTGTTATGTCTTATCTGCTTGTGACTAAATTCATTACAAAACTGCAACCACAGGAGACCACATTCTAAAGTGTATAGGACAGTAAACGACTCCAGATTTTCAGTGTCTGTTGTGATTTGTAGCTGAATTCCTTTATTTTCAACAATTCTGTTGAGTTATAATTACATGCCATAAATGGCCCAGATTTAAAGTGTATAATTTGGTAAGTTTTGAGTGTATATAACCATTGAAACTATCACTACAATAAAGAAAATGACATATCCACACTCCCGAAATTTCTTTCTGCCCTTCCCCACCATGACCTGCTCTTCCTCCACCCCAAACAACTCAAGTTTAAATATAACTCAAGTTTAAAGAGTTTGGACTAAATTTAACCAAAGAGATGTAAGATTTGTACACTGAAACCTACAGGACATTGCTGAAAAGAACAGAAGGTAGAAATATATGGAAAGAGTCAATGTGCATGCATTGGAAGAATTAACATTGTTAAAATGCTTACATTACCTAAAGTAATTCACAGATCAATATTTCAATGGTATTACTCACAGATACAGATTTAAAAAGTCAAGAAGTTTACTTATAACTACAAAAGACACCAAAAAGCAAAAAGAATCCTGAGGAAAAAAGAACAAAGATGAAGGTATCAAGTGCCCTCATTTCATAACTATACAATAATGTTATAGTAGTCAATACAGCATGGTATTGGAATAAAAACAGATTCACAGGTAAATAGAACAGAATTTAGATTCCATAAAGAAACCCACAAATACAGACAATTAACTTATATCAAAGAAGCCAAGAGCGTATAGCAAGATAAATCTCTTCAATAAATGGTGTTGGTAAAACTGGACAGCCACATGCAAAAGAATGAAACTAGGTCACTATCTCATACCATACTCAAAAATTAATTCAAAATGGACTAAAGACTTATATGTAAGACCTAAAACCACAAAATAAATAGAAGAAAGTACAGGTAACATGTTCTTCGACATCAACCTTAGAGATGTCTTTGGGGAACTCTACTCCAAAGGCAAGGGAAACAAAAGCAAAAATAAACAATACAGAATACATCAGACTAAAAAGTTTCTACACCATGAAGAAACTACTTCAAATGAAAATATATCCTAATGATGGGGAAGATATTTGCAAATCATATATCCAATAAGGGATTAGTATCCAAAATATATAAAAAATTCATAAAAATCTGCAGTGACAACAACAAATTTAAAAAATGGGCAAAGGATCTAAATAGAAACTTCTCCAAAGAAGATACACAGATGGTCAACAGACACATGAAGTGATAATGATGCTCATCTCTTATTACTAAGGAAATGCAAATCGAAACAATGAGATAGCACCTCATACCTGTGGGAATAGCTATTATGTAAAAGACAAGAAACATCAAGTGCTGGAGAAGATGTGGACAGAAGGAAATCCTGCACATTGTTGGGAATGTAAATTGTGCAGCCATTACTTAAAGAAATACAGAGATCCCTTAAAAAATTACAAATAGATTTTCTACACAATCCAATTATCCCACTTCTGGATATTTACCCAAAGAATACATAAAGTAACTTGAAGAAATACATGCATAGCATGTTTACTGCAGCACCATTTACAGTAGCCAAAAATTAAAAACAACCTAAATGCCCACTAACGGATGACTGAATAAAGATGTGGTATATATACACAATGAAATAATACTCTGCTATAAAAAAACAAAGAAATAAACAACAACCAAAAAATCCCTTTGAAACCCTATCATTTGCAACAACACGCATATACCTAAAGGGTATTGTGCTTGGTGAAATAGGTCAGATGGAGAATGACAAGCATCATATGATTTCATTTATAAGTGGTATATAAAGAAACAAAACAAATGAAAAAAAACAAAATAAGATAAAATGAAATTTTTAGACTATAAGACCAAATTAGTAGTTACCAGAAGATGAGAAGGAAATGGGTAGATCAGGTAAAAAGAGTTAGTTGTAAAGGACAGAATTGAATTTTTACTGGTGAACTTAAAGTAATACATACATTGATTAATAAGATGTGAAACTGAAACCTATATAATGTTATAATGTAATGTTTCTGAAATAAAAATTTGTTTGAAAAGAAATGCACTATAAAATGGATTATTAAATAAACAAAACCATTCTTTTAATATTTTTAGATAGATACAATCTCTAAAAGGCCTTTTCTCATCTGATATCTAATTCACTGTAAATATCCCATTCTGATAAAAGTCACTTTGTAGGAAAAAAATACCTACTTATGTCCCTGGGAGTTTTAAGTCTTCAGGAATAATTTAATTTTTCTAAAAACCCATGAGATGTGGGTGCTATTGGAAAGGTAACGCTGAAGCCACAGGTTCCATGTTGAATTCTACCATCATTAACACCTGCATCTACCTTGCAGATCCCACTTGCAAAGAAGAGGAAGGAAGGATTTCCACAAGGGGAACCTCTGTTCAGAGCATTGAACTTGTCCTCCCACCCCATGCAAACCATCATGGAAATACATTTGGTGGCCAGATTATGGCTTGGATGGAGACGGTGGCAACTATTTCTGCAAGGTTCTTCATTTTAACTTCAGTATGCAATGTTGGGACCAGTGGGGAGAATAGAAAAGGTTCAAAACTCAGTTATAGGCTCATCGAGGGAACAGAGGACAATGTCGCCTTTCATCAAAATGAGAAAACGATAAGTCATTTGTCTGTTTCCCTTTGGATGGATCTGTCTTTATATTTGAAAGTGAATGTTTAAATTCTTCATTCAAAAATAAAAATGAAATGACAGTTCTAAGGCTTAACTCTAAATTATGAATTATATTGATCTTGTAAACACTCCAACTCATTTAACAATACTTACAACAAAGTAGATGTATAATAGAAATAGAAGGCAGCCTTTACACTTAGAAATAGGCAAGTTACAACTTTTTAAAAGGCAATTTGTCACTAGATCTGACTTTTGAAAGTTTTAGTTAGAACTGCTATGGCCAAAGGATTAACTGCAAAATAAAAAGAGGAAGAAGAATACTTTTAAATGCTCCTCAATTTCAAAATGGTTATTTTATTCTTAATGGAAGCATGTAGGTAGTTCAGCAGCATCAAGGAACACTGTGTGCTCTGAAGCACATTTGGACAGGATCTGCCCTTCTGACAATTTTTGTAACTACTGAAAATTGTTAAGGTTTCATTCTACCAAAATTAATTTTATTATTAATATGTCTATAGTTATTACTATAGTTAGAAACCTGTAGTTATCCTTCCTATAACTATGCACAACAAAGAGAGCTTGTTTTTAAAATGATACTGTAATTCTTAATCACAATAAAGCATTTGAATCAGTTGTCTTATAAAGGCTCACAATATAATTAATTGGCAGCCTGTTCACTTATCTGTACAATTCATCAGAGTAATTCAGTGACTAGAGCAGGAGCTGAAAATGTAAAAATTATGAAAGTGACTTACTGAGATTAAATATTCTTTATAAATAATTCAAAATTTTACACACCAAAAAATTGGAAAATGTGTACCTTATAGCCTTCAAGATTTTGTGCCGCTAACCAGGTAATTTTCTGTGGGGGAAAAAAAACTTATCTGTTGGTATGTAGGTGAATGCAGTTAACTATGACACTAAGGAACTAGTGTGAGTGGCTTCAGCCGGCAAGTCCCTTCCTGGCCCCCCACTCACATCCCCCAGTCACAGTTCCCTATTAGGATTGTAGTCATGAACTCTCAGGGTGAATATAGCCCTCAAATTAGAACCAGAGACACTGGATTGGTTTTCTGAAGGTCAAAAAAAAGAACAAGACTGTACCGCAAAAGCAAAAGTACCAATATCTTAGCAAAGATCCCATGGTATTTCCCAAAATATTTACTAGTAGCATTCAGAGCCACTCTCAACATACACCGTATGGCTATTTATTTTACTGGAGTTCAAAGAGATGTTTCTTTAGAAAGCACATTGACTGTCTGTTGTATTCATTAATCAAATCAGCGGTTCATGAAAGTATTTTGGAAAATGATCCCTTTTCTCTCATCCCCTTTGCTTTCCAGCCGCCTGTGTAGGGCACATCCCTTTCTGAAGTCTGTGGACATGTTTAAGTTTCGGGGACCATCTACAGTTGGGGACCGGCTTGTCTTCAATGCCATTGTCAACAACACATTTCATAACTGGTAAAGGGTACCTAGTGCCCCTAGGATACTATAAGCAAATTTAAACTCGCTCATAAATTTTTGTTTTTATTTCAGTCTGAAGGTGACATGGGAACTACTTCAAAGTAACTTCTAATTTTTTTTAAACTTCACTTAATCTTCAAAGTCTGAAAACACACTTTATCCCTCTGTTCTGCTTATAAATTCTGAGTAAATTGTGATGGGTTGGTTTCTGTCTCATAAATATAAGCTATGTCCCAGCTGGCCTGAATGGTCTTAGTTTATACTTGTCATGATCATTAACTCTTCCTTTCACTTGCAAAAGAGTTCCAGTGACTACATGGTCAACTGACTCAAATGGACCTGTCATTTATCATCATTATGTCCAAAACCCTTCAGTTATTTCTATTATTATTGATGAAAATGAATGAGAAGATTTAATTTAGTACCTTTGCTTTTTAAATGTGAAAAGAGTACTTATATTTCCTATAGAATTCCAGTGTTTGATTCTTTTTAATTACTGAACTATTGTTTTCAGGGGAAAGAAAGATTTTGGCACAAACCCTACTTCCCCATTACGAGAAAATATTCATGAATGTATATAAAGTCCCAACTGGCCTTTTTCCCACTTGGAAGTGGAAATCCTCCCAAGTGCTTATATATCACTCAGGCCCAGTGAAGTAGATTTGCACGTTGGCATAGATCTGCCGAGGGCCCTCCTTCGCTCCTCGCCTGGAGGAAGGGGTGATGGCTGCTGTGGAAGCGGCGTGTGCTCTGCTCTCTCTGCTCACGGCCTGTGTCCTCTTCTGCAGTGTGGAGGTGGGTGTGCGAGTGGAGGCCTTTGACTGTCAGGAGTGGTCTGAGGGCCGAGGTAGACACATCAACAGTGCTTTTCTCATTTACCGTGCTGTCAATGATAAGGAAGAACTGGTCACATTTCCCAGAATCAAGCCCACCTCAAAGGTCAGTTATTAGCATGTGAGGTTTGGGATCAGACCACGGAACCTGGGGGAGGCTGTGGGTACTGAGCTCTACCCTGAATCCTCTCACCAGCAGCGACCTCTGAGACCCTGCATTACAACATGAGATTGGCTTTTTCTCTTTTTTTCCAAATCACCATTCATTTGGTGGAGGTTTCAAAGACCTCACTTCTGCCCAACCTCAAGGAGTTATTTGGTGCATGTCATCATCTACGTCCCTTTACATCCAGTTCTCCAAGCTGCTCCACAATCACTAAACGATATCTTTCCCCTTGTCCTGAGGTTGCCTTATGGCAAACTTTCATCTTGTCTAAAAACAAGATAGTGAGATATTTGGATAATTCTTGTGTCAGAAATGACCACAATGACCACTTTGAAAAAAGAAAAGAAAAGAGATCTGTAAAGGCTGTGTTTTTATCCATGTACCTGCCCCTGTGGGTGATGAGGATTGTTCACGCAGAGATACCATGTCCCAATTATCACCTTCAACTGACTTAGAAGAGAGAGACTTGAAGACTGTAGCATTAAAATAAGACTTTCATTGATTTTACTTTTTTTTTCATTAAAGGATGATTTTAGAAGATACCGTGGAGCTATTGCACGCAAAAGAATTCGCCTAGGCAGGTAAGGGATATAGGTGTAAAGATTTTGTAGAACCAACTCTTATCTGATCAACTACATAACAAAGAGCCTCTCTCTGGGTCTTCATTCCCACAGAGTTCAAAGAGAAGGTCTGATGTTTTCTGATTGTGGAGGCTACTGTGATGGAAATTGTTCTTCTTAATTGTTCCACCAGTAAAAGCATCTTTTTAAAACAGATTTCAGTTCAAGAAAGTGCCATAGTTACTGTTGTATATTTAATGCAGGAAAGAAAACTGTTATTGTAACATTTTTGATTTTTTTTCCAGAAAATATTTTATTTCCCACAAAGAAGTGGTTCCACTCTGTGTACACTGGGATGTAAGCAACCAGGTGAGTTTTATGTCTTGGAGCTCTTCCTGTAAAGATCACATTATTACGAAAACAAAAATCCCCTTGTTTAACTGCTGTGAGTTGTGCCTACATACACTAGGTGAAAGGTGCATTCTATCACCAGTCATTCCAAGACGAGACAAAACCAAGTTAAAAGCTGGTTGTGCACAATGACATACCCACTAGTTTGCATTTTTCAACACAACAAAGTATAGACATGTTAATGTTTTACACCCTAAAACATAAAGAGAAATCCAAGTTTACTTATTACATGTGGATTACAAGTCATAATGAAGGATAATCTTGTCTTTACTCAGTACACCACTGAAAGTAATACTAATTTGCTAATAAGCATCTAGGCCTCCCATCACCTAGTCTGAATTTTGAATCACACATTCAAGACAGAAATTATGTTACCTGTAGGGGCCTCCCTGGTGGTGCAAGCAGTTGGGTGCCGCACTGCAGCGCGGGTTCAATCCCAGCCGGCTGGCAAGATTCCCACAAGGTGAAGCAGACCTCTCCTGTCTCGCCCGCTGCTCCTCCTCTCAGCAGTGTATTTCTTCAGTCTACCTGTTGTGTTCCCAGCTCTGTCTCCAGTGAATCCTCTCACCCTCCTGCGCATCTGACCTGTACCCCAGTTCTTGTATAAAAATAAATAAATCTTTAAAAAAGAAGAAAAAAGAAATTATGTTACCTGTAGCCTAGTTCACTTCCGCTGTAACAGCACCCATTTTCTAAGTAGAAAACATTTGATCACACATCTATGCACTGAACTCAGAGCTTACAAAATATTTCTATTTTAGGAATTCCTGAGTAATAGTAACGTGGAAGCTCTCAAAAAGTTAGCAGCCAAAAGTGGTTGGGAGGTTACCAGCCCTGGGGAAAAGGTAGGCAACAATCCATTGTCTTCGTAATTGGAAGTTGCTGTGATGGTTCGTGGTGGTCCTGTTTCTACTGATCTTTTCAAGGTGAAAAATCTTTCTGGGAAATTTTCTAAGCGTCCAATATTTTTCCACTCCTGTCTCTATACTCCATGCTGACTTGGGGTTCTTCAAACACACTCTCATATTCCTACCTCTGACCTTAGTTCTCATATTCCACCTCTCTCTCCTCCCCACCATCTGCTCTAGTGCTACCTGCTATTCAAGACCCAGGACAAATGCTTCTCCTTGAAGACACTCTTAATCACCCCTGGCTGAAGGAACTTCTCCCTTCAGGAACTCCTATAGCAATTACTTCTTTAAAGCCATTTTTTCAATTAATTATACACTATTTTGTGCCATTTCTTCCACAACTATGTGAAACTAGTATTTAATTCCTACATAATACAAAACAGTCTTATTCTCTAACATTATAAACTTCTTGCGAAAAAACAGCTTGTCCTGATTTGTATCTTAGCACCTTTTTTAATTTTTTGTTTTTTAATATATTTTTTTACATCATTGTTCATTTTTAAACAATGTTTGCTTCTCCTCCCAACCCTGCCCCGCCTCAGGTGTAGTGCCCATAGAATTCCCGTAGCACCTTTTACAAGGTTTGCCTGTCACCAAATTTAAGTCAATGTATATCATTTGGATTTTAATTTTGTTTCAGAGGTGTATTAGGAAACTCTTTGAAGCTGACGCCCACACTAACTAGACTGCAAACTCTCTGAAAGCCATTTCGCTCACTACTCTAGTCCCAGACCACAGCAGCGCCTGGCATTAAGGACATGCACAGCAATGCCAGAAATATATGTTCACAGTTCATTGAGAACTGTTTTTCATCATCAACGAAGCAGCAACCTCTAAAATAGGGTGAACATACGTCCTGGTTTTCTTGGGACAGGCCTAGTTGTCCCATCATTACTGGTAGTCCCATTGTACTTACTAACAGATCCTCAGTGTTGCAGTTTGGTCACCTTACCCTGAAATCAAATTCAGATGCTACTTCATCAATTCTCTTCAGTTTTGACCTCCTCTGCTTTGTTTTAGGTTGTTTGCTTTTATTATGTCTTGTCATCATTTTTTAATCTTTTCAGGGTCCTCCTTACCCTCTACGGATCCAGTCAGTTTCATCTTTATTTGGTTTAGAGATGCAGACACCCAGATTTAACATAACATAACCAAGTCTGTTTCTCTTCATCCCTCATAAAAGATGCTTCAAGACTGTTTTCTTTTACTAAGATGAAATCTGCTTCTTCAAGACTGTTTTCTTTTACTAAGATGAAATATGCTTCTTGCATCACTGCTGGTATCTGAGCATTCATAAGCAGCATTTGAGTTGGTTACAAATGGGATTTAACTTATATTCTTCTATGAAAGGGAACTCATTTTCTTGGAGAATTAGTCTTAGAGAAATTTTCACTAAAAAAAGCTGGGATTTTCTAAACCTGTTGGATTTAAAGAGAGCCAACAACAACCACTGTCTCCTCATCTGCTTTGTCTGCATCAATAGCATTGATTCTGATGGCAGAGCAATGAGGAATTTCTGCTACCTTCATCTTCTGGGAGAAGAATCAAAATATCATTCACACATCCAATACTACATAGGGCATTGGATAAATAAACCTAGTGGTTTGTAAGGGCAGAATCTAGCTGTAGCTACTGAGCTTAATGTTTGCTCTGGCTCTAGGATGGGGAACAGCTTCCTGGAGAAGAGCTGTGATAATTTCCTAGGGCTGCCACAGCAATCTGACAAATTAGGTGGCTTAAACAACAGATATGTATGGTCTCTGTGTTAAGGAAGTGGAAGTCTGAGATCAAGGTGTTGACAGACCTGGTTCCTTTGGAGACAGTATGAGAGAATCTGTGCCAGGCCTCTCTTCTAGCTTCTGGTGGTTTGCTGGCAAGTTTTGACATTCCTTGGGTTGTAGATGCATCATGTGGTCTCTGCCCTCATCTTCATGTGGTGTTCTTCCAGTGTGTATGTCTATGTCCAAATTTCCCCTTTATATAATGATACAGGCCATATTGAATTAGAGGCCTTTCATCTTAACTTAATATCAACAATGACCTGATTTCCAACTAAGGTCATATTCTGAGGTTATGAAGTTTAGGATTTTAACTTATGAATGGAAGAGGTGGGAGACACAATTCAACTCTTTTTTCCCCAGGAAATCTCGGTTTAATGTTGTTAAGAGTCTTATGGTAGCCTAGCTCTTGGGGTTTGTTTGTTTTATTGAAGTAACATGGGTTTTTATTGCTGTATATGATTCAGAGGTATAGGATTCTACCTCTTCAGATATATGTTACCATACCACCACCACCACCAAGGTACCTATAATTCTGCCCTTAATAACTGCTCAGCCCAATATTATATCCCACTCTACCCATGGATGACCATGACTGCCCCATGGCCAGAATCTGACCAAGGTTATGGAATTCACCCTGGCCACCTTTCCTTGCCTGCTCTGACATTATGGAGTGCCAGTAGGCTGAGTTAGAGTCACAAGGCCACCAAACTTTACTAAGGTGACCTCCCTCTGGACTTACACCCATGGATTGCTTCTACTCCTGCTATCGAGGAGGCAAAGTCAGGCATGGCCATGCTGGGGTGAGACTCAGCAACTACCCAGAGCCCCACTGATGATTTTCTTTCTGTTTGCTAAATACCCAGTTTAACTCATATCCTCCTTTGCAGACTGGATTTAAAGATAGGCTTGTTACTAAGATCAGTTGAAGAGGCAAAACTGCATAAGCAAAGTGTCACTATGACACTGGTTTTAGTCAGTTTCTCATTTCTGCATTCTCTTTTTAAAGATATAAAGACTTTCTCCCTAACAGTGTGATTTTTCCATCTGCTTGATTACTGCAGTGAAGTCTTAACCCTATGTTTGTTTGTCTTCTCATAGCTTGTTGCTATGGGAATGGTTAGAAGACAGCAAATTTCAATACTACTTTCAAAGCATCCTGAAAGACAGTGAGAAAATGGACAGGATAGAAATGTGCTTTTAGCTAAACACTTATCTCCTATTACTAGCAAAAGCAAAGGAGAAGGAGAGTTCAGAGGAAAGAGGGATACATAAATATTTAAGTATATGTCAAATGGTTCCTAAAACAGGTCTTATCTAAGGAATAAGCATTAGAATACAGGCATTGGCCTCCCAGAAGGATGAGCCCTTGTGATTCACAAATGGAAGAATGCTTTGTGCTGAAGAAATATGGTGCTTCAGGGACCCTGTTGAGGGTGTGAGTTGGTTCTGGAGGTGGTTGGCTAGCTTGCTGGCTCCCCCTGGGCTACTTGAAGGCATGCCTGACATCCTAGGAAAATGCCCTAAGGTATACAGCCTGACTCCAAGAGCTCTGCGGGGAGATGAGGCACTGACTTGCCTAGCAGCCTGGTGATATCTTCTTTGCTCCTGGGGAGAGTCAGGGAAATATCATAAAAAGAAATAGAAAAGCTATGTTCTTCATTTGTTATGAGAAAAACTACAGCATAATAATTAAATAAGCTACTCTTATATCAGGTTTTTTTTGGAGGACACAGGGGTTTAGCATCCTGGCCAGAGCTCTAGATGTGCAAGTATTTGAAGTGAAATTACTATCATCATTTCACTTCATTGTTATCAACCTATCAACATATATATTTATGGTTTTTAAAGTAAACATCAATTCTTAGGTAATTTTTTTATTACCTTTTAGATAAAAATATATACTCTGGAAGAACACGATATTTTATCCATTTGGGTTGAAAAGCATGTGGAAAAACCAGCACACTTGGCTTATCATCTCTTATCTGACTTTACGAAGAGACCTTTGTGGGACCCCCACTATGTGTAAGACAAATTTGATTTTTTTCATAACCAACCCTTACATCAAGTAAAAGATTACCTCTGCATTTCAGTCCATCTCCACTGTACCATATGACTGATTTTTTTAATTAATTAAAGAATATTTTTAAAACTTGCTCTACATAGGAACTGTATCAGGTACTATTTGCAACATAATAACAACCATTATAATAATTTATCAACTGTATTGAGTGGACAAACTTGGTTGATAGGTTACCCATATCTGTCAGCCTACCAATAACTTTTCAAACCTGATATTATTCCAGTTTAACAAAAGAGAGGTTCCAAAATTGACAAAATTTGTACAAACAGTAAAGTAATAGAACTGGAACCCAGGTCTGCCAGTCTCTTAATTCCACACTCCCATACTGCAATAACAATCCCATTGCCCTTGAGGAAGTGACTATCTAATTGTTCTTCCCACTTCCCATCCTTGACATTTAATTAGCAGATCCTTTTTTTTCTGTGAAGCAGCACTCCCTGATGAGAAGCTTTGAGAGGAAGCTGTATGAATACTGAGGTGAAAGGCAGCCTTCCCTTTCTCCATGATCACGTCCACTCTCTTACTTCCATTACTTCCCGTCTCCTGCATCCCTAATTCAATCTCCCCGAAATCCCCTCATTTCCTAGAATTCTGAGCTATGCACTTTGTCAACTGCCCTGACAGGGACTGACTGCACTCAGGCTACACCCCTTCCTCCAAGGAATCCCAACTCCTGGGCTACAGCACTCATGGCCTCTAGACATCTTGCTAAAAGAAAAGGATTGGTAAGATGAGCTTCCTATTATATTAAGCATTACTATTTACTTCTTATTGAGGTACAGGTTCCACTTTAAAACATTTAAACCTCACATGGTTAATATAACATAATAAACAATTTAATACCACTCAAGTGTGGCATCTTTGGGGTCATGTGTTACATTTGCATAGATATTAGAATGAAAAGTCCTAGTTAACACTATCACAATAAAACACTCCAAGAACAGAAAACACTTCATGATTTTCTCTCATCAATATTTGTAGTTATTATTTAAGTATAAAGCTTTTAAGCAAGAACAATGCCTAAACTTTGGTATTAATTCTTTTTAAATTTTTTTTCCCACTACTTTTTCTATCACCTGACATTCCAGCCAAATTGAATGAATGAGTGAATTCTACTGAACTTTCTTTTCCTGTGCATGTACTATGGCTTAGGCAGTATGGTAAATGTTTCACTTAACACTCACAATAACCCCACAGGTATTATTATCTACATTTTACAGATGAAAAAATAAGTGACTTGCCCAACATAACATAGCTGCTAAGTGGTAATCTGGGATTCAAATTCAAGTTATTTGACTCCAAACTTAGTGCTCTTGCCAACATATCATATTCATTTTCCTAAGAGTCCTTTTTGGAGTTCTTCATCTAATTCACTTGTCTTCAAAATATTACTTGATTCTAGAGAAAAACAATTTTGTGGAAAATAAGTACTTTTCTGTGAAGTGTTGAGGACAATGATCTTTGAATCAGATAGTTACTGTTCTCACCATCACAGGCAGAAATATTCCTTCGGACCAAACAACTCTTTCTAAAAACAGTCTGAGAAACAATGCTGGCCTTAGGGGGATGGTTATGTGAGCAGAAGGGTGAATGTGGACACCAATAATGAAGTTAAGAAAACAAAAGTATTAAGTGCCTTATTTTAGCATGTGAAAAGGTGCAGCCTTTCTTTCACTGTTCTGTTTACTTAGGTCCTGTGAGGTCATAGACTGGGTGAGTGAAGATGATCAGATATATTATATCACATGTCCGAATGTGAATGATGAAAAACCCAAAGACTTGGTAATACTTGTATCACAACGAAGACCTATCAAAGATGGGTGAGTATATGCAATCCAAGTATTATAGCAATGTTTTATAATACAGAATGGGGAAAAAAGTTAAGAAAATAAGGAAGTCAATGTAGGCATTTCTGGTCTTGAATGATGTTCATCTGAATTTGTTATGCACAGACCTTTAGTTATCATTAAAAAAAAAAAAAAGATCAGTGTTTGCTTCGGCAGTACATATACCAAAATTGGACCGATACAGAGATTAGCATGGCCCCTGAGCAAAGATGACACACAAATTCATGAAGCATTCATATTTTTAATCAATCAGTTTAGTAAAGTAGCAGGATACAAAATCAACACACAAAAATCAGTAGCCTTCCTATACACAAACAATAAATCTGAAGAAGAAGAAATTAAAAAAATCCCTTTTATTATTGAAACAAAAAAAAAATCAAATACTTGGAAATAAATCTAACAAAAGAGGAGAAGGACCTATACAAAAAAACTATAAAACACTGTTAAAAGAAATAGAAGACGACACAAAGAAATGGAAAGACATCCCCTGCTCATGGATTGGAAGAATTAATATTATCAAAATGGCCAATCTACCAAAAGCAATTTACAGATTCAATGCTATTCCAATAAAAATTTCAATGACTTTCTTCAAAGAAATAGATGAAATATTGATGAAATATTGAACAAATATTGATGAAATTCATATGGAGCCACCAAAAACCCAAATAATCAAAGCTCTCCTGAAAAAAAAGGAAATCCCAGATTTCAACTATACTACAAAGCCATAATAATCAAAACTGCATGGTATTGGAACAAGAATAGACACACGGACCAATGGAACTGAATAAAAAATCCAGAAATAAACCCACAGATTTATGGTGAACTAATCTTTGGCAAAGGAGCAAAGAATATGCAATGGAGCAAAGAAAGTTTGTTCAATAAATGGTGCTGGGAGAACTGGGTCGCTACATGCAAAAGAATGAAGCTTGACTACCACCTCACACCATGCACAAAAACCAACTCAAAATGGATTAAAGAACTAGACATAAGACCTGAAGCCATAAAATACATAGAAGAAAATATAGACGAAACACTACATGACATGCACCTCAGCAACATCTTTAAAGACTCATCACCTTAAGCAGTGATAGCTAAGGCAAAGATAAACAGCTGGGACTACATCAAATTAAAGAGTTTCTGTACAGCAAAAGAGAGTAACCAAAACAAAGAGACACCCCACTGACTGGGAAAAAAAAATTGCACACAACACCAATGATAAAGGACTGATCACAAAAATCTACAAAGAGCTGACGAGACTCAACAAAAACAAAGTGAATAATCCAGTCAAAAAAATGGGCAGAAGAGCTAAAAAGGAAGTTCTCCAAATAGGAAATGCAAATGGCCAACAGGCATATGAAAAAATGCTCAGCATCACTTGTAATCAGGGAAATGCAAATCAAAACTACACCAATGAGAATGGCACATATTAAAAAAACTAGGTACAACAAATGTTGGCAAGAATGTGGAGAGAAAGGAACTCTCCTGCACTGCTGGTGGGAGTGCAAACTATGGAAAGCTGTGTGGAGATTCCTCAACCTGCTAAAGATGGAGCTTCCATAAGATCCAGCAATTCCACTCCTAGGTATTTACCCAAAGGACACAGAAACATTAATTCAAAAGGGCACCTGCATCCCTATGTTTACAGCAGCACTATTTACAATAGCTAAGCTATGGAAACAACCCAAATAACCAAAAACAGATGACTGGATCAAGAAGATGTGGTATATATACACAATGGAATATTACTCAGCAAGCAAAATAGATAAACTCATGCAATTTTCAGCAACATGGATGGAGCTGGAAGGGATTATGCTCAGCAAAATAAGCCAGAAAGAAAAAGAAAAATACTGGATGGTCTCACTCATAGCAAGAATTTAGAAAACCTAAGTAAGGGACCAGGAAAAAGACTAATTATAGCAAAGTAAAAATCAAAATCAACAAGCAACTATAAACCAGAGACACACTGCGGGGAGGCGGGGGAAGAGGAGGAGGGATGAGGGTCAAAATAAGGAGGGGTGGGAATTGTATGGGGAATATAACCAAGATGAAAATGCATACATTGTGCAAAAATGAAAAATGATGTAAAAAATATATAAAATAAAATAAAAAAATATCAACAATCATCTATTAAGTGCCAGCCATGCACAAACAGCCAAAGATGCCAAAAGCAGTTCCCTTGTCTTTTACTCTATGCCCATTATTAGTAAAAATGTGGTGAAAGTTGAATAAAACACCAGGAATAGGTTGAGAAAATGCAAGGGCTTGACTGTACTAGACATACAAAATGGCTGGCTGTCAGTTAGGGCTGTGGATCAGCATCTGTCCATGACTTCTCTATGGGCACTGGACTTCTTGGGGCACAATGTCTAGGTTCTAAGGGGAAGTATCCCAAGAATAAGTCTTCAAAGAGACAAGAAGTGGAGGCTGCCAGGATAGCTGAGGTCTACACCTGGAACTGGCTAGTAGTAGTTACTGTGTCAAAGCTGGTCCATAGACGTAATCACGCACATACATGAATATTAACACACTTGGATCTTCAGGGTCCTACCATTTATTATGGCAAAAGATACTAGAAATAAATTGAAGGGCCATCTTATAAATTATGGTAGAGCCAATAATACAGCTGTGCCATCATTAAAAAGGATAAGACCTTCCCTTTGCCCTCCAGCTGCGGCAGCTGCAGCTGGACCTCGAGCTAGACGACCGGCCTCAGCTACCAGCGGAACGGCAGCGGCCGCCACCCTCAGAAGACCAACAGATCACCTCTTCCCACGTCCTCGCTATGGCATCCTACAGACCGAGCTGCCCGCGGACAATGTGTATTCTTCCATCATATGCTGACCTTGGCAAAGCTGCCAGTGATATTTTCAACAAAGAATTTGGTTTTGGGTTGGTGAAACTGGATGTGAAAACAAAGTCATGCAGTGGTGAGGAATTCTCAACATCTGGTTCATCTAATACAGACACTGGTAAAGTTACTGGGACGTTGGAGACCAAATATAAGTGGTGTGAGTATGGTCTGACTTTCACAGAGAAATGGAACACTGATAACACTCTGGGAACAGAAATTGCTATTGAAGACCAGATCTGTCAAGGTTTGAAGTTGACATTTGATACCACTTTTTCACCAAACACAGGAAAGAAAAGTGGTAAAATCAAGTCTTCTTACAAGAGAGAGTGTATAAACCTTGGTTGTGATGTTGACTTTGATTTTGCTGGACCTGCAATCCATGGTTCAGCTGTCTTTGGTTATGAGGGCTGGCTTGCTGGGTACCAGATGACCTTTGATAGTGCCAAATTGAAGCTGACAAGGAATAATTGCAGTAGGCTACAGGACTGGGGACTTCCAGCTACACACTAATGTTAATGATGGGACAGAATTTGGAGGATCAATTTATCAGAAAGTATGTGAAGATCTTGATACTTCAGTAAACCTTGCTTGGACATCAGGTACCAACTGCACTCACTTTGGTATTGCAGCTAATATCAGCTGGATCCCACTGCTTCTATTTCTGCAAAAGTCAACAATTCTAGTTTAATTGGAGTGGGCTACACTCAGACTCTGAGGCCTGGTGTGAAGCTTACACTGTCTGCTCTGGTAGATGGGAAGAGCATTAATGCTGGAGGCTACAAACTTGGCCTTGCCCTGGAGCTGGAGGCTTAATCCAGCTAAAAGAAACCTCTGAGATTTTATATCAGAAGATTTGGCCTTAATGTATTTCCGGTGTGACCAGCAGGCGCTCTCCCCTCTCCACTTTCCTGCCCCCACCCTCCATGAAGGTGATCAAAAACAAAGGATGATCTACAAACAAGAGCTGTATTTTAAATATTTAGACAGTTACTTGTTAGCTGGTTTCTAGTTGGATTGGGTATCTAGTTACCAATGCTGCAGAAGAGCAGTCACCTATACATTATTTAAATGTATTTAACTGTTAAATGCGCTACCCACCAATAATGAAATAGACCTTTATGAAAACTGTAAAAATAAATAAATAAATAATAAAAAGGATAAGAGCACTATAGAGGTACTAATATAGAAATACTTCCAAGGAATTAATGTTAGATGAAAAATCAAAATGTAGGCCCAATATTCATAAAATGATAATATTTCTGTGGAAGTCAATATATATGTATTTTCTTATATTCATTCACAGAAGGTAAAGGTATGGAACAATATAGAACAAAATGTTAAAAGTAATCATCCTAGGATAGAAGTGGATTGTGGTTACGGTAGACTGAAGAAGACTTCTATTGTTAGTCTGTAGGGTTCTCTATAGTTGGTAAGACAACGGGTATGTTTTTAAATCAAAAAACGAGAAGAGACTGAAATTATGACACATTAGGGTACAATGAAACCAGTTTGACTGCATCTTTGTGTAATTATGCCAAGTGTATTAAATCTCAGGCAGAACACACCCATGGCTTTTTATTTCCTCTGCCTGAATATAGGGATTATTTTCTAATGCAAACTACTCATCTAGAAGATGAATGGGTCTCCATAGTTTCACTTCCGCCTACATAGATACATCGTTTTAAATCTAGGAACCTGTTTTTTAACAATTCTTCTTCACTTCTCAAAAAGAACTTAGAAAATATCCTTTTATCTTTTAGGAACATTTTCACAGTGGCAATGAAGTCAATTATTCTGCCATCAGTCCCACCTTCTCCACAGTACATCAGAAGTGAAATCATATGTGCTGGATTTCTCATCCACGCTATTGACAGCAGTTCATGCACTGTAAGTTTGATGAAACATCTGCAGATTAATTTGCTCCTACAGAGATTGAAAATTCATTTACCCCAATTTCCTAATTAACTGTAAATCTATAATGTGTGTTCACACATTGGGAATCCTAAGGTCATCCTTTCAGAGCCATTCCAGAAGGTGCCCAGGAGATCAGGGTCATAGCCTCCCTTACAAGATTCAGATCCCCCTTTCAAAAAGCTCCGAGTCAGTAAGAAATTAAAATATTGTATTTTCTTTTTGAAACAGGTGTCTTACTTTAACCAGATTTCTGCTAGCCTCTTTCCTTACTTTGCTGGAAATCTTGGTGGCTGGTCAAAGTCCATTGAAGAGACAGCAGCCTCCTGTATACAATTTATAGAGAATGATGGGTTGATAAGAACATTAAATGATAAACTTCCAACTGCCATAATTTAATTTCCCACTTTTTCCAAAAAGAACCCTTAGCGATGACGTTTGCAAGCTTTTGGGACACAAAATAATTTGATCAGCCTAAGCGAAATACAGTTAGGAAGAGGTTAAGAAACAAATGGCATCTCAAGTCAAATAACAAGTGATTTGGGCTGGAATTAAAGAGCTTAAAACTATTTTTGATCATCTCCTAGGGGCACAGGCAATAGAAAATTGCCCATATGCAGTATTTTGTATTCTGTAAAATGGTAGAAATTTAGTTTAAATGATCATAAACATTTTGAGGTTGCAGAAGTAAAATGTGCTCTGTTCAAAATTTTATAAAATTTAATAAAATAAAAAATGTAAGTTGGGGACCTCCCTGGTGGTGCAAAGGGTTAAGTCTCAGCACTGTGAAGCTATCCCTAGCCAGGGAGCTAGCCGACATAGCACAGCAGACCTCTCCTGTCTCACCAGCTGCTCCCCTCAGCTGTTTATTCCGGTAGATCTACCTGTTCTGCTCCCCACTCTGTTACTGGTGAATCTTCTTACCCCTACCCCTGACCCCTGACACCTCTGGCCCACACCCCAGCTCTTGTATGCATAAATAAATAAAATAAATCTTTTATTTTTTTATTTTTTTTTTAAAGGTTTATTTATTGATTGATTGATTGATTGATTCATACATACATACAAGCACTGGGTACAGTCAGAAGCGCGGGAGGGTGAGAGGATTCACCAGAGCCAGAGCGGGGAGCAGAGCAGGCAGAAGGACCGAAGTACACTGCTGAGGGGAGCAGCGGGCGGCAGGAGAGGTCTGCGCGCCATGTGGGACCCTCCTCCGGTGGCCGGGGAGCAGCCGGGGATCGAACCGGCGCTGCCGAGGCTGCGGGCAGCTTCGCAACCCAGCGCTCAACCGCTGCGCCACCGGGGAGGCCCTAAAATAAATCTTTTAAAAAATATATAAGTTGGGTAGTTGATTAATGCTGTAGGATTGTTCCCTGTCCAGCAGGTATCTATATGTCAGGAGCATCTGACAAGATATATTACATGTTTTACAACTTTAAATTAGGAATAGGAAGACATTAAAATATAATGGGGCCCAATCAATTTTAATAATAGGAATTACTTTGCTAGTGTCATTTAACATATATTCAAGGTGGCTGAGCAATTTAGTATCTATTGCTATATATACACACACAAAGTATCTGCAAAATGTGATATTGCAGGGAAAGAGAATATTAACTGAGCTCTTCTTTCACAGTCATTACAGTAGCACTTTATTCCTTAGACTTCAACATTCATTATTGTACTCTGTGATTTGTCTTGACTCATACGATAAAACAGTATATGTCAAGTTAGCCTCATCTGCAGGACATGCTTAAAATATTGAAGGACTTCTTCATTCGTGTTTAAAGCATTTAAGAGGCTGGGCACATTCTGCTGTTAGTTTCTCAGATCTCCAACTTTGTTCCCACTGCCTGTCCACTCACCCCAACCACTGACCCAGTCTAGGTCTAGTTGTAATAATTTTCATTAGACTCTCAGCAGTTATGCATTTATGTGAACTTTGGACTGTGCCGCAATTTTATGAATTAACCTTTACATATAATAATAATCGTGGACATTTAGATAAAATCCACTACATTCCAGAAGTAGAAAGATTTTTGAGTCTATTTTTAAGTTTTTTAAAATGGTGAAAAAATGGGTAGTAAAGGGATTAGAGTACGCTAAAATTGTGTAAGCTAAAATTTCAGAGTTCTCTTATAATTGAGACATTTTCAACAGCTGTCTGTCCTAGATTTTTTATTTTATATTTTTAAAATATTTTCCTGAATACTAATAGAAACATTGTGAGATTGATTGAAAAGAGTCATTCTAGCTGGATGACTTTTAGACAAAAGGATGTTTGTTGCCTGATGTAATTTTTAATAAAGGCAAAGTCTATACCTGCACAGATCAATCTGGGAATCACCAGCCACATGTGGATGTTACAATTAACTTAAATTAAATAAAATTTAAAAATCAGTTCTTCAGGTCACATGTGGTTAAGTGGCTTCTCTATTGGATAGTGCAGATATAGATCATTACTATCATCACAGAAGATTCTTTAGTGTTGAGCTAAAGAAAAAGGACCTATTATTTTCCCATTTTCAACCATCTTCATATCAAACAGCCCCTCCTATCTTATCTAAAGTGCTTATGAACAAAGACACAGGGCTCACCCATCTGGCTTTCTTGGCTCAGTCAGGTCTAAATTGAAGTGCTCACTATTGGAATAAAGATGTTTCAAAAAGATGTGACACAGGAAAAGACAGCAATACACTCAAGTTCTACTTAGGGCATCCCAAGAAGCTAAAAACCTATTGCCCTTAACACAACTGACTAGGCATTCATGTTACAAATTCAGCAATGACCCTTAGTTTTGCATTTCCTTTCTTACTGGAAATATAGCTGACCATACTTTCCAGAAGGCTTCCTAAAGGGACATTTGAGAAAATCCCTGTAGGCAAGGCTGAGCCATGGTGATCTCTAGATGTAGTATATTTCCTGCAGACGGACTAACAAAGACCCTTATGGGAATGTTTCTGGTACTTTCTGGGGAAAAAAAAAAACAGAGAAAATAGAGATGCCAGAATAGAGGTATAATTAAGGGGACTGAATTAAAGCTAGCCTGTTTCTGCTCTCTGTGGTGATCAAGCTTTAAGCAAATATGATTGGTCCAAGGGTAAGAAACTAGGCTGGCGCATCAGAAGTCACCTGCAAACCCTTTGAGAAGGACAGAGAAAACATAAAATTATAGTCAAGCTTCTTTTTTCCTTTGGGGTATCAAAATATCTTAAAGAACACTCAAGATTTCATGCCTTTCTTGATGATAAGAGTTTTCAAGTGCTTCTAGCAGAACTAAAACTTTGATTATGGAAAGAAAGTGATTTCTATTAATTCTTCCTGGTTTCAGTGTAACTGGGTTTCTAATCTGTATTCAGCTTTCTATCATCTTTTAAAAGAATATAGAGGGCAAATATGAAAAATGAGCAGAATATTTACTCTTTTACTCAAATATCTCATATATGTCCTCTCTCATTGTTCCGTTCATATTTTTTATGGCATATCTCAAAGATTAAACTTGAAAAATTTTATTGGTAAATTTATAGGAGTAGCTTTGAAAATATATGTTGAAAAGTGTATGTTAAGGAATAAATTTTGTGATTATAAATTATTAAAATGGAAACTATTAAGTCTCTTTATGATTTACTTCACCCATTTAAAGGTAATAAAATCTTGGGGCAGGCAGTTTCATGGGGTCTTATGGGCTGCACATACTTGTATATATGCCAGAACACAAGACATACCCATCTCCTGATCCTGAGCATTTTTGTACCTAGTTCCATAGGCAATTAGAAGTTCAAGGTGACCACACTCTGGTGTAACTACTCACTTCTGGGAGAGGTGGGGAGAGGGGACTTAACTGGATTGCTGCTTGCTATAGTATTTCCAACTCCCTCAAAGAGTGCTCAGTTCTGGGTTCCTCAGCACTGACACAAACCCACTAAGTCAACAGCATCCACAGGGGTCATCATGCCACCTTCTGGGACTTGGGAAGAAAAGAGAAGCAACAAATATTATTGCTTGCTGTGCTTTGAATAACAGTCCTTTGTTTCAAAACCAGGAATCTTAATTCTTCTATCAACATCCATGAAACAGTAGCAAGCTTAACTCATTGGTTTCATAAGAATCTCAGACCCTTCACAGTTCTTGACAGTAACCCACCTTCAGATTCAAAAGTCAGAGAAATAACAGGTGACAAATGTCTTCCTCATTTTATACAGTTTATACGATATAAAAATTATTGCTGCCACCTTTCCTTTCCTCATTTTATGACCTTTTTAGGGCCATTTGAAAATAGATTGGAAATTAATATTTGTATGATTTGTATGTATGTAATATAGCTCATTACCCCTTTAGGCCTTCCCTTCTTTCCTTACCAGCCTTTGATTCCATGGTCCATCATTATATAATCACTCCCTGGAAAACACCCATATCTCTCACCTTTCATTCAGCTGGTCTGCAAAATCACAAACATGGTTAAATTATTCAAAATGTCTCATCCATGTGAATGGAACACCTGAAAATTGTATACTGTTCTCACTTAAATTTCACACTCTTCTCACTTAAAATTTATTACCATAAATTTCAACGTGGCATTCAGGACTCTGATAATCCGACTATATTTTCTTACAGATTTGCTATTCAGTTTCCTCTTCTTTCAACTTCTCATGTCTCCTTCCCTCCCATCAGCTCAGGAATCTCAGGAAATACTTAATTGACAAAATATAGATGACTAGCTAGGAATCTTCACATTCTCATCTCTGCATCTTCCACATTCCTGCCATCTCTATCATTATAATGGATGAAATATCCCTGTCCCTGGCAAAGAACAATTTCTCTTACTTTCTCTAGGGCTGCCCTCCTTTGCTTCAGGAATTTCTTTGCCTCCACTGGAATGTTTCCATAACCATGATTACACTAACTTAGGGCTCTGTTCTTGGCCTCTTCTCTTCTATTTCCACTCTTCTGTTGAGTGCAGTCTCCAGGTTTTCAAAGCCATCTACCTGACAATAACTCCCAAATCTATGTCTTTCGCCCAAACCTCTCCAACTACCTAGTTATCTCCACTAATATTCATTTCAAAGTAAATATTTCCAAAATTCTGCCATATTTCTTTCCCTAATTCCCCCCTCCCCACCTGCCCCTTCAGGATATCTGATCAGCTCTACGCTAAACAGAATTGGAACCTGGCCCCTTTGAGCCACCTCTACCACCACGACCCTAATCTGAACCATCTCTCATCTGATTTGTAACATTTTTTGTTCTTGCTCCCCCCTTTACTCTACACTTAGCCCAATAATCATCTCATGTCTTATTTCGCCTCAAAAGCCATGAGTAATTTAGTATCACATAAAGTAAAGCCATGCTTCATAATGTTCCATGAGGCTGTATGGTACATTATTTTTCAGAAATGTTCACTCCCCCACCGTCATCCCCATGTCCATGAATGGAGTGTACTATTCTACTCCTTGTCTGAGTTTGACTGTGTGATTCATCAGTGGAATATTAGCAGACATAATGCAACCATAGACTTGAAAAGTGATTTTGCAAATGGACATGCCCTTTTACATCTATGCCGCTGTCATGAGAAAAATATGTCAAGATCAGCCTGCTGGCCCCAGAGAGACATATGGACCCAGAACTCCTTAATCTGAATCCAGCTTAGCTTGATTAGCTTAGCTCCACCAATTTCAAGCCAAACTTCGTATGGATATGAGAACATACCCAACTGAAATTAGCAGAGCTATTCAGGTAAGTCTAGCCTCTGATTCACTAGCATGAGCTAAATAAGTGCTTATTATTGTATGCTTCCAAGATACTGTCACTGCTACACAGTAGAAATTAACTAGTAGAGCGTACAAGATATGACCCCTGCTAACTAACTGATCTTCTACAAGTTTCTCCCTCATTCTTTTCCAGCCATATTAGCCTTTTATTTGTTTTTCAACTACATCTGGCATGCTCCTTTCTCACTAACTGTGCTTACAATTGCATCTCACATTAAGATAGCAAGGGTTTACTCCTTTAACTCTATCTGGTTTTTACTCAAATGTCACCTTTTAAAAGAAACCGTTTCTAAGGCCCCTTCTTAAAATGGAAATCTTCTCCCCGCTACTCCAAGAGCTTCCTTTCCACTCTTTTTTCTTTTTTAATACTTATAACCTAACATATATTTTATCTATTTTTTTTGCCTGTCATCCCTAACTAGAATGAAAGCTTTGTGAGAGCCACAATTTCTGTTATATTCATTGTTAGATGCTCAATATTAGTCTATTGCCTGGCATGTAATATGTATTCAATAAATTTTCTTTTAATGTCTTCCCCATTTTAAAGTTAAAATTTGTTATGTGTTTCTTGTCTTCACAAGACTAGAATTTGTAATATTTAATCCACTCTCCTAGCTTATAGACTGTTACCCACAAGTTACACATTATTTTTAATATTAACAATCTTTATCTACGTACCTGACAGTATATGTACTTTCTATTCTTCCTTGCATCTTAGATCTTATATCTGATAAGACTTTACTTTTGCCCAAAGTATAACATTTAGAAATTTTTTAGTAAGTAGTTTTTGGTAGTAGATTCTATTTTTTTACTTTCTAATTACTTTATCTGTCCTCATTCTTTTTTTTTCTCATTCTTTAAATATAGTTTCATATACTTCTATATTAAAAATTATTTTCTCTTTGCATATTGAAGAGTTCTCCTTGTTTTCACTGTTACATTAGTGAAACAGTGAATTTTTTCTTTCCTTATAGGTAATGTCTTTTCTGTATCAATGCTTTTAAATCTCTTTATTTTTTGCTTTTAAAGTATATGTAATAGTTTTATTGAAAAGATATTTAACAAATTATAGAAATTCCACCATTTTCATTTTTGTTGACATTTTAGTCCTTATACACATTAAACAGATTCAATCATAGGGTTACATACCATAATGGGTGCTCAATGCAAAGATACCACTACCCTAAGAACTTCTAAGTACAAAAGACAAAGAAACCTTATTTACCAATGCAATGTAGCAAACAGCAAAATATTTCAATAGTTTTATTAATTGCCTTCTCAGGTGTAATAGAGGCCACACAGAGAGAAATAGCTGGCACTCTCTAGATCACAAAAGGCAAAATGTGACCAAAGACAAAAAACCTGTGCTTTCCAAAACTTTCCAGTAACCCCAAAGTAGGACACAAGAGGACCATGGTATACTTCAGAAGTCTTAAATTCTCATGAGTTGACTTTTAGTAATAGATGTTGACACTCTGCTGCTGTTTATAAATCACTAATACAAGTATTGGTTTCTCTGATATTCCTGCAATGTTATTATTTATGAGAAAACCGACAGAAAGAACTCTGCACCAAAGCAAGGTAGTAAAAATAGAGGTTACCATGGAATAGTAAGACCCTGACCTTTAAGGGTTTTACAGTATGCTGTCGTGCCTAATTGTGTCTGCCTTTTTATTTAACCTTCTTGGAATATGTTAAGTTTCCTGAAGGAAAATTAACAAATCCTCAATGATATAGGAAAATTCTTGGCCCTTTTTGAAAATATCGCTTCTTATTCTAAATTTTCAAGGTCATCTCATTCATTGTTCAGGAGGATAGGAGAGTATGTATATATGTCCATGTCCTTCTGTGACATATTTGGATTTATTTTCCAGTTCACTGATTCCGTTCGCCTGCCTTGTCATTTCAATAATTACATTTTCAGTTCTAGAAGTTTCAGTTGGTTACTTTTCAAATCTGGTGGTTGCTATTTTAATAGTCTCCTGTTCCTTGCTCAATTTTTCAATGTGTTCCTGATTTCTTTAAATATGTCAAGCTTACTTATTTACATTTGATATTTGGTCATTCCAAAATGTTTGTAGGGCTGATTTTCCTGTTGTTGCTACTGCTCTTATTCATGATATCTACTTATCTAGTGTAATTTTGTTTCACTGAAGTCTGGCCCCTCAAACTTTGTGATTTCTTTGAGGAATAGGTTAAAGTTGCAGAACAGATTATTATTAAGTTTCTGCCAGTTGCCAGCAGAGCACTTCTAGAATGAAGAATATTTTTGTCAATTTTGTAGGAATATGTCACTTATCTGCTTTAAACTTCCCAATGAGAAAAACATGCAAATCTATAGAGAATGAAAATAAATTAATGATTCCACGGGCTGGGGCAGGTAGGGTGTTCATGAGGGTTGGAAGGAGGAAGCACTGACTGCTAATAGTGAACAGGTTTCTTTTGGGGGTGATGAAAATGCTTTAAAACTATGATTTATGGGTCTCCCCTGGTGGCGCAGGCGGTTGAGCACCGCGCTGTAAAGCTGTCCACAGCCTCTGCAGCACTGGATCAATCCCAGCCAACCAATGAGGGTCCCACATGGCACAGCAGACCTCTCCTGTCTCGCCGCTGTCCCCTCAGCAGTGTATTTCATCAGTCTGCCTGCTCCGTTTCCCGCTCTGTCTCTGGTGAATCCTCTCACCCTCCCACACATCTGGCCTGTATCCCGGTTCTTGTATAAATAAATAAATAATTTAAAAAAAAAAAAAAAACTAATTATGGTTTCTGGCTTCTTGGGCCCGCCCTACATACTAGCCGAGGCCCCCAGTCCCAACCTTTCCTTACAGGTACCTGAGGGCCCTGAGCAATCCTGTGGCTTACATTACTGTCTTGCAACAGTACTTGTTGCTTTAACTAAAGAGCCCCAGGCCACACCTCTGGGTTCTGCCCCAGAAACAATAGTTCCAAACCCTCCTTAGTGAACAGCCCTAGGCTGGGAAACTGCAAAGGTCTGTGGGTAACTAAAGCCCAGCTGAGATGTACCTGGAGGGACCACAGGGGAAATACCAGCTCTGTACCTGGCACTGGGATTTCTGGGCCCATGCGGAATGCCCTCAAGGCCCTTAGAGCTGTAGTTATTTGTAGATTTTGCGGAGGAAGGTTCTGAAAATCTTAAGATTTCAGGGAAGTTCAGAGAAAGAATTTTTGGGAGGAAGGGGTGTGGGCGGGATTATTTTTATTTTCCTGGATGACCTAAATATTTATCTCCAGTTGTCCAGGGCATTCATGTGTCATTCAAGTGTCAAGTTTTATATTTTGTATTCTGTAAGTGGCACTAAAATATATACAAAAATGCATGTATTTTTGTGGGGCCCCCTCCCGCGGAAGAACTCAAGTGATACCAATCTGGTCCTTGATGTTCAGCACGGTCAAGGCACCGAGCACGCGGAGGGGGACACGCTGCACCTGCTCCCCAAGAAGATTGCCGCAGATGACATACCAGATTCTAAGAAGATTGACTGCCATAAACACAATGTACCTGCTGTTCCTGCCATAGCAACAATTTTCTCCTGTGTTTCTGCACTCTTTTTGTTGACCTCTGTTACTACTTTTTTCTTTCCTGTATTGCTTTAATCTTCCTAGTGACAATATAATGGTGTAATGAGTCAAATGTTACTGTTTAATACATAACCTCGAAAATTCAGCAACACAAGATCCAGTTAACAAACAAGTTAACAATTATATATGAAAAATAATATAGTAACTTCCTCCAACAGTCAAAACATTTCTCAGTACAAGTCATAAATAAAAAACATTCCTTGACAACCACTTCAAGGTGGTCTTGACTAAAAAATCCAAGCTTGCAAGCTTTTAATTAAACCCAATCATTATAAATAAAATATTAACCTGAAAAAGCAGACAAAAAAGGCAGCCAGTTTCAAAACAATACTTATAATTATAGGTTTAAATATAGGTTTAAATTAAAAAACAAGTTAAACAAGTATAGGTAGGTAGGACTTACACTTTAACCATGAAAATATGTAATCTGTGACCAATCATTAGTTAAAATATAACTTGTTGTAATCCTAAGCATGTCTTATGATATATCGTGTCATGTCAATCATTTTTGTGATAAAAAATTGTATGATGTAATGCTTTTAGAAATGTATAAAAATGTACGTTGATTTTGAGTGCATTACAGTCAGATGTTCACTCCTGAAGTGTCTGTCTGTCATTTTTGCACCGAATCCTTGACCACCCTGTTCAGTCTCTCATCCCTGGGTCAGCCTTGCTAATCTAACGCTGCGCCGGTCGGCGGCATATTTTTCATCCTTAAAAAGGAATGAAATTTTGATATATGCTAGGATTAGGGTTAACCTTAAAGATACTATGCTAACTAAAATAAGCCAAATACAAAAGGACAGCTATTGTATGATTCCATAGAGATAAATGTTTTATCTTTGTATCAAGAGTGATGGTAGGGAGGTAGAGAATGAGCAGTTACTGTTTAATGGGCACAGAGTTTCAGTATGGGATGATAAAGTTCTGAAAATGGAAAGTGATAATGGTTATGCAATAATGTGAATTTTACTTAATGCCACCACTATACACTTAAAAATGGCTAAAGCAGGAAATTTTATGTTGTATTTTACCACAGTAGAAAAAAAAATTACTTGAAAAAATATGAACAAAGGAACCCCAAGAAGAGTGGCACTAACAGTTCTGCATCGAAGAGTGTATAAAAAAATTAGACTTATCTTGCTGCTGACAAGTTCTAAATTCTCCAGAACCTTTTGCTTCTAATAGGACAGGTGAAATGAATCTGGGTATGTTTGGACTAAATGACCAAAGCAGTACTGCTGTTCTCTTCCAGATGATTTGTGTAACTCCATTTAAACAGACTGAGCAGGATTCTGTCATGTTTTCCTCTCTCACTGAAAATAAAAGAACAGCTCCTATTAAGACTAGAAGTGGAATTGTGCAGAGAAGTGCTTTTTTTCTTATTTGGTAAATATTTTGCTTCTGACAGCTCAGTAACTAATCACAGCTGTTTCCTTCACTTTCAAATCTGTCCAATCAGGTAAAATTCCAAAGGAAATACACAATCCACAAGTCATTCCATTATACATACAATGGAAGCTTTAATGTCTTGTTAAATATTATATATAAAGAATGCATGTATTCGTCAAATCAAACAAAAAAACTAACGGATATCTGATTAGTGTTCTAACTCTATTATGGTGATATTTGCTTCTTACCCGAATTCAGCTAAAACATGAACAAAAAGCTAAGTCTGATATACAATCAGTTATGGGCCATTATTCTGGCTAACTGAATTTTAGTTAGAATATTCTCTTGAAAATCAAGAGCAAGAAAAAGTTCTTATAAGTTAAGGTACTCTTCAATTTTAACCATAATTATTTTGCAAGTTTCATGTTAAAAACTGAAAACAAAAATTTACCAAATTCCTGTATTATCTTCAACAAAGATTCACAGAAGCAGTGTTTCCAAAGGGACTGTCACATGGACACTAGTGAACAATGTCTAGTTCAAATCAGAATTAGGTATTCAGAAAAATACAAATGAGTCTTTATTCAATATTTCAAAAATACAGATTTTGTCATTTATAAATAAATTTCTATTATAATAATAAATCGATACTTTGAACAAAGAAAACAATATAACCAAAAATTCATTTCCAACTGCAAAGCAGTTACTCTTAGTTTAGGGGTAGTTCATATTAATACATAATTCTGTTAAGAAAAGATGATTGTTACAATCAGGTTTATAAACACTTAGTCACACCTAAGTTCTGTTAAAAAAAAGTTCTTTCAGAGAATCCAATTTAAATATGTTCTATTTTCCTTCAGTGATTTTCTCTAAACAGTGGTAAAGTACTCCTAATGGACAAGGAACTCAAGAAACTATTTGACCACACCCAGATCATACTGTTATCAACAATCTAGGCCAAGGGAGGCCAGCTCCAACTTGTGAAGTAGGCATAGTTCAGAATGTAACAATGACATGATAACTAGCAATAGTACTAATGTTCAAAAGTTAACAACTTTAGGTGTTTTAGTTTTGGGTTTCTGTGGTTTAGGCAAATCCAAAACTTCTTCATAATCTGCACTCATTCCTTGTGCCCAGCGACCAACTGTGACCTTTCGATCTGTAAATAAACAGAGCAGTCAGATATAAGAAAAACAGTAATCAAACACATCCACCTACAGCGGTACTGGTTTAGCAAAGAGTGACACGAATAATCACAAGAAGAGATGACTCCATCAGTAAAGGAAAAGGGGCCTTTCTTTAATTGATTATAACCCTTGATTTCAGAGTACCACAGGCAATTTCTCATCCCAATTAAAGAAATGCAGCAACTGCTTTGCAATGCACAAATTGATGAGAAAACTCCTTCATTCTTTCCAGAGTTCATCATTATAGAGTAAATGAATTCCAAGAGTCTGTAAACTGCAAGACTTATGAAGCATCAGTTTTAAATGTGTAAGAATCCACCTGTGAATTATACAACATCTGCTTGTCAGTCTTGTCATTTGGGAAGTGGCAATCCTCCCAGGAGGGAGAATTCAAATTCCACTTCATCATTTCAACTTCTCTGCCTACAGTGAAGACTACCTTTTACACAAGATTGTAAATGAGAATTCTTGGGTTTCAATTTAAATATTAGGGGTAGGAAATAAAAATAGGCAAACTTACTTATGTAATAACTATGAAAAATAAAAAGAAATGTGTTTTTCCCATAAAAAGCACTACTGGGCTATTCTACTGTCTTACTTTCTCTCATGCAGGATTATCATCATTTCATCTAGGTAACTAATATAATTATGGTCACCACTTCCCAAAAAGTCTGCCATAATATAGGACATTTGTGAAATTTTTTATGACCAAGGGTAGTATTCCACTAGGAAGAAAATATTACTGGTCGGATACTGCATAGGAAATACATTGTTAATACTTTTAGCAGTTTTGAAATTAATTCTGAATTTTTCAGATGCAAAGTATGTACTCATAGGAATACTAAAAGTTATTTTCATATTTATTATCGCTTAAGAAATCAATATTTTAGGGCCTCCCTGATGGCGCAGGCGGTTGAGGGCAGCACTGTGAAGCTGTCCTCAGCCTCTGCAGCACAGGTTCAATCCTGGCTGACCAGCAAGATACAGTGCTCAGTTACTCAGCACTGTATCTACTGCTGACAGAAATGAGTTAAGTCATCACTGTAGTATGAGACCAGAGTGCCTTAAAATCAATAGTAATTCAGTGAATAGTTAATCACAAAATGCAGCAAAAAGCACAGCATGGAGAAATCCCTCTAAGTGGAGATCCAAATATATTACCTGAATTCTGACTTTCAGGGCAATCTTTCTTAAAATGTTCCACAGAGCCACAAAATCTGCAACCACCACCTATTAAAAGAAAAAGGCACTGAAAATTTCTCATACTTAACAAAGAACTTTTAATGTTTCTTTAAAATATCTTATTTGATTCTAACAATCTTGCCTATGTGGAAGAAGTGGGAAAGAGGAGAGAGATGGAAGGTACTTGTGCCCCGGAGTATCCAAAAGGCACCCCACAGAAGCCTGGATCTTAAGTATAGTTAGATAGAAAAGAATCTATGAACTCTTAGACCTGTAAGCAAAATTTGTGTGCAGATGCATTTTTCTGAGGAGGTTGGTCAACGGCTAAAAAAAAGGGTTATGAATCACTAGTCTGCTGTACATGTCAGGTAAGGGTGAGCAGTTAGGAGAAGAATGAAATTAACTTTTAGTTTAGTGCCTTATGTCTGCCAGGCACGCTAACAGTAAATGCCTACTGACTAAGTAACATTCCAAGATTATGAGTTAAAACATATGCTTTCTAAAATGAGTTGTTTGCTTAATGGTCAAACACTATTGTTCAGTGGTCAAGCATTATTAGACCATGCTCATAAAGTGACTTAGAAAAATGACTCCAAAAAAAAAAAAAAGAAAGAAAAATGACTCCACAGGATATAGATCTTTGAACTACTCCCCTTGCAGCAATTTTTTAAAAAGTATCTTGTCGGTTAGGTCGACCATCCAAAGCCCATTAGTTATGCTATCTGATCTATTGACCTATCTCATTAAATTTTTTGAACACTTTCCAGGCCCAGGCTTCTTTACTGTTGTATATGCCATAATGAAATACAAGAGGCACTTGAATATATTTTAATCCTCGTAACTCTTCAAGATAAATCTAATTTGTCAAATTTAAGATACCACTGATTATAAGATGCATCATTATTTTATACACCTTTCAGGAAAAAAGAAAAATTTCCAATTATGTGGAACACAGCAAGGGTAGGATCCAGTTGGAGATCAGTGACACTAAACTGTCAAAAAATGTGCATCTCAGAATCAATGAATGAAATAGTTTGGTTTTTTTTAAATCTCCATTTTAAGGTGAGGAAATGAAACAAGAGAAGTTAAGTAACTTGACCAAAGCCCCACAGCTTGTAAGTGGTGGTGCTGAACTGACTGATTGCAAAAGCTATACTTTTTCACTAGACTTCTCCAAGAGACTCTAGGAGATGACACAGAGCTGGCTAGAACCTGATGGTAAAAGTCATCATGTTAATAGATGACTCATATAAACAGATAGCAGTCTCCCCCTTAAAGTTTTGGATGTCACAGACTTCACTGTGGGGACTTAAAGACATTAGCCGAGCTAAAAATTAGAAAATTACATGATCCCATGCTATATTTAACTAAGGAAAACATTCAAAAACAAAAACTACTACAAACATTGAATAGCGTGTATTAGCCCTGAAGGCCAAAATGGTATACTAGACTGAGATTATCATCACAAAACTATTTTATTCTAATTGAAGTAACACCAGTTTATAATATTGTTTGTATTTTAGATGTATAGGATCGCTCCCTTCAAGTATAACACTATTTTTAAAATCTAGTATTGGTTTGAGATGTAACCAATATGTGTTGTAGTTGAAAGTTAAAAGTACATATTTTATAGTTACAGTTAAAAGTAGATATTTACAGTTAAATATCTGTTATAGTTAAAAGTAGGTATTTATAACATAGTCTCACAAAAGATGCTGAAGCACAAAATGTTTGAAATGCAGTTTAGTTTTTCCAATTTATTGTCTTATTTTATATATATATTATAATCTGATATCAACTCTTATTATACAAAAAGTCTAGTACATAGAATAGCATTTGATAAAAATAACAAAACTCTTTTAAGATTTTGCTACTTGTTCGAGAAGTTATTCCAGAACTGACTGAAGACTGTAAATTAAATAACTGTGTAACTCATATTTTTGATGTATGTGGGTAACAGTACTCACCATCAGCATAAAGTCCTTTGGAATTCTCAGGACAAGATCTGGACAGATGTCCCATCTCCCCACAAACAAAACATTTTGCAAAAGGAAATTCACCTATAAGATCAACAATTCCCGTTCAGTTAGTTACATATATTACAAATGAGGTAATTCATACTATTTTAAAGTACTCTGGATAGAAATATATTTGTGTTTATATAACTTAAAATTTAATCTCATATGCTTTCAAAATATTACGCAGCATATACATAAACAAATTCTATCAACAAAAAAAAAACCCAGTTGCTCCTCACTGACCATTTTCCCCACTAACCAAACCAAAAACTGATAGGAAAACAACATACCAAGAGCGGGGTCTACTTTAGCCTTGCACTTGGTTATTTCGTGCTCTGTGGATCCACACCGATAACATATTCCAGTGCCCATCTCTTGATTCTCAAGGGCAGCTGGGCAATCTGCAATCCCATGGCCGGGTTTTCTACAATGGAAACACAACTGGGAAAACAAAATATGAGTTTCAACAATGCAAAGGTACACAAGCTTTATTCTTATTATCAAAAATCCTTTAAACATTTCTCATTTTAAAGGTTCCTAGCTCTTCTTTTCAACTCTCAATATTTTATCTGTAGAAAAAAATGTTTCACACATTCCTAAACAATGAAAAATGTCATTCCCATTAGTGGGTCTCAGTGCCTTTAAAGACTCTTAATCTTAGAAATAAAGTCATAATATGGCTTTGTAGAAGTTAACTGCTTAAAAGAATGAAGCAAATATGGAGTAATCATTTTACCTTCAAAGTTCATATAATTGAATGGATTTGGGTCATATAATTTCACTTAAACTATGATTTCAATCATACATAACATAAACAAAGTAGTTCATACCAAGAAAAAGTATTTTCTTATTATATCTTCCTTAATATTCAAAAATAGGTTTCACTTTTAAAACATATACACATTTATTCATTTATTTTTTTAAATAACAATTTTTTTAAAAGATTTATTTTTTATTTATACAATAGGTGGGGTACAGACGAGAGGCACTGGAGAGTGAGAGGATTCACCAGAGACAGAGTAGGGAGCAGAACAGGCAGATGGACCTAAAGCACTGCTAAGGGGAGCAATGGGCGCTACAGGAGAGGTCTGCCTCACCATGTGGGAATCTCCCTGGCCAGCCGGGAATCGAACCTGCACTGCAGAGGCTGCTGACAGTTTCACAGTGCTGCGCTCAACCCACTGGGCCACCTGGGAGGCCCTACACAGTACATTTTAGAGGAAAAATTTATTTTGAGATGATTTAGCTCCAATGTAAAACTGAATAATGGCTTGGTGCTTTCCAACTATCTAGAATTTCTTTGTTTCTTTTTTTCTTTCTTTCTTTCTTTTTTAACAATGAATCAGAACTCAGTTTAATAATCCAAGTGGGTAGACATTTAAGCTATTTTCTTTAAAATGGAAATGGCATATGTATTTCTTGGATGACATTTTAAATTCTTTTCTTTTTTCAAAATAAGAATGGTTTTCTTAAAAAAAGCAAATTTAATGGGCAAAACAGAACATATATTTGCAATTATTTCTTTATTTTTTCATATTTAGTAACATGTTAGAAAAGAGTAAGTTCCATTATCTTCAGTAACATTTACATTCAGAATAAGCCAATCCAAACAAAGAAAATGCATTTATTCTACAACTTCAGGAAAAGCTACTGTTAAAAACTGGATCGCCACATAAGTCTTAGATTCTTGCTGAAGTGAAGCTGGTCTCCGGTAAACTGACAGTTGAAACCTAATCTTTACCAAACTTGAATAAGTCTTAAAATTAATGTAGATGGGATTATGGAGAGCAGACTGGAATGCTATATCTTAATTTTTGGTTACATAGCAAAAACAGGAAGTGAAGGTAGGTCACAAGCCACGTACCATTTAAGGTATATGCTTTAATATAAAACATTGTCTTTAAAAAAAAAAAAAAGCCTTTCCCCCTTAACTGCAAAAATAAATCTTTCTCAAAAGGTCACAATACTAAACTTTTTCAAGTTTACAATTCACCATACTATGTGAAATTATCTTTAAGTTAAACTAACTTAAGTTCTTTGTTAAATTAACCTGACTTTAAAATGTTTTTAAATAATTACATAACTTAGAAAGTTCAACCTTATACAAATATAAATGATTATCTTTTCTACCCAAATTTACCCATAAGAAATGTTTCATCATTATCTCTAAATGATTATCTTTAAATATGACGCTACATAGAACTAATTCTATAAATAGAAGCCACATTTTAGAAAGTTATAAAGTTTTAAGCCTTCCCTGTGGCACACAGTGTTCTACGATTAGTAGTTCTCATTAAAAAAAAGGTGTAATAACTGGCAATAAATTCTGATTTTTCTGTAATATCCAGCTAGAAGACTTGGGAAAGAATTACACTAATTACACCAATTCATTCTTGCTTTTGACAGCTCAAAATCTAGGGCTCAGCAATACAGAAATAAACCTGTAGCACGTAGACATTCCTAAGTACAATATCAGGAGGCAGGGAGCAATGGTTAGAGTCACAGGGAATTTAAACTCTATTATTCTGCTCTGTTACTAATTGATGTGATCCTTATTAGACCTCCTTCTGTACCTCAGTTTTTCATGGAGAAAAACAAAAGAATATCCTTTCCAAGTAAAAACACCGGCACATATTAACCATCTTCTTTATTTTGTTCTTTTTTAAATGGCTGTTTGAAAAAGGCTATTGGAAGGCAGGAGTGAGAACATATGTTTTACAGTCAGACAGTAGATTTAAATTTAACCTCTGCTACTACCTAAGTAGTTTCCAGCAAGACACTTAACCTGTCTGCACTTCAGTGTTTTCTATCTATAATATGGGGATAACACCACCATCTTTGTCATGTTATAATTAGTCAGTAGAACAGGTGCCTAGCATAAAGGAGGTGCTAAAGAAGTCCCACTGTTAATACTAGCCCTCAAAAAGATACTTCCTAAGTCTAGTACATAAATTAATCACTCTGCTGAAATAAAAGCATGTGAGTCTATAAATTTATTTTTAGCCATTAAAGTAATGTTTTGGTAGAAGTGATAAGCTTACCATTGCATTTTTCTTTGCTGCTTGTCTTTTTAATCGTCTTCCTTCCCGACGACTGTCTTTCTTTAAAGCAACTGCTATTTCTTCCCTTACTTCCTGACTGTCTGCTGCTGTCATCTCACCATTGTGAACCAGCTGTGAGTTCTCTCTTAGGTATTCCATAAATCCATTTACATCTTCATTTAAGTATTCCTTTTTCTTTTTGTTCTTTTTGTGTTTCGCTTGGGGTGCATCATTTTTCAGGGACAGCTTATTGGCTTCAAACTGTTTATTCTTTGGTGAACTTTGGCTTTTTCCCTCAGGGGATCCCTTCTTCATGTCCTCCCATGATGTTGCAGGTAAGGGTCTCTTGTTATTTGTGGTAGTAACTCGTGCCCACCTGGTCATGGTTTCATCAGAGGTACTTTATCAATCTTTAAGACAAATATGGCTGGTTAGTCATCATTAAGAAAAAAACATCATCTAAAGATATGTGCTATACAACATATGCCCATTGCTAAAAGTATTAATTATTGCAACTTTTTTACTTTAGACATTTATATTTACCTAGATAATATGCTGCACAGATAAGTCTGTGTGTAAATCTAGCCCTTACCAGTCAAGCTACTACACCAGTAAAACAACATAAATGAGGGCATATTTATTGCTTAAATCTAAACCATTTATTTTGCAAAATTCAAATCACATAGTAATTCAGTGAACGAAGCTAACTCTTCCCAAATTCTGCAGTTTTCCTGGTCGTTTATTTTCCTGTCTTTAAATACCTGGGATACTTTCTCCCAATCTTGTCGCTTAGTCTACCAATGCAAAGCAAATAATCTAGAAAGCAACACACAGAAACCTTGTCTTCTGATGTGAAGCTAGTCATCACAACTCTTACCGGCAGACTGGTAAAATACAAAATCAGTGTTACAGTTTACTTGATAAGGACTCTTCCTCTCTTTACTAACCAGAGTATAAATTACTTTCATTCCAATGATTTCAAATCTTCAATCATTATTATTAAGTCGCCCTTTTTAGGGCAGCATCGGGGCACCAGCCAGGGTTAAATTCTCAGCTCCTACCATCGGAAACACCCCTTCAAGACAAGCTGAAGGGCGGAGTCTAGGAATACTCGCGCGAAACTCGTCGCCCCAAACCCCGCGACTGTCACAGCGGAGACCCGAGCTGTTCAACAGGTATGTTATCCTTCGCCCGGGTCCGGGGGAAGGCTACGCTCTGGGTATCAAGACGCCGACAGCGGCGCCGCCTTGGACAACCCTCCTAACCCCGCCACTCCACTGCGTTTGGGGACTCAGGGCCCTCGCAGCAGTCCGTCCGCCCTCCCGCGACTACCCAGGGAACGCGCCTGAGACCCCTACTTCTCTGAGCTACCCGAGGACTCACGTCTCTCACCCGTCCGGGGCTTCTTACCACGCGCGAATCTCCCCGTACAGCAAAGTCGGCGAACCAGCGAAGCCCAGGCCTCTGGAGGTGGCGTCAGCTCCTGCGGCCGGAAGCGCGGCGTCCCTGAAACGCGTCACTTCCGGCGAGCCGGGTCGTGGGTGGCTAGAGTTGGTTTGGCAGCGGGGTGTTAGCGTCTCGCGGGTCTGGTAAAATGTGGGTAAATAAATGCTTGTGGAGCGCTCGTGCTTGAAACGCGCTTCTCTGGCCGCGGGAACGCAAAGATGGAGAGTACTCAAGGCCTACGATTTAAAACTCACAGCTTACAAAGGGAGATGAATGGAGTGGGAAACACTAGAGCGGTGTCCTCGAAAAGATGATCTTTGATTTCAAATAAAAATACCTTGAACGTAAATAAGGCAGGTTGTTAAGGGTTTTCCAGGTTCAGGTAAAGTAAATATATTAGCACAGTGGGAGTTTGTCACTGTTAGAAAAATCTAAAAAGCACCTTTGGTGAAATGTAAGTTGGCACACCCACCATGGAAAACAATATGGAGATTGCCCAAAAAGATAGGGATAGCTCTACCATATGATGGTTATTTATTCAAAAACAATAGAAACACTAATTTGAAAAGCCCTATGTTCTTTGCAGTTATTTACAATAGCCAACATACTGAAACTACCTAAGTGCCCATCCGTGGATGAACGGATAAAGAAATAATGATACATAGAGAGGAATACTACTCAGTCATAAAAAGAATGAAATTTTGTTATTTTTGACAACATGTATGGAACTTAAGAATATTATATTAAGTGAAATAAGTCAAATGGAAAAAGACAAATATCTTGTCTTCATTCGTGAAATATTAAACAGAATGACAAAAGCAAACTCTAAGATACAAAGAAAACATCAATGGTTACCAAAAAGAAAGGGAGGTTGGGAGAGGGTAAAAAGGATAAAGGGGTTCAATTATATGGTGATGATAGCAACTAGACATTTGGTGGTGAGCTCAAAGCATATATAGATGCTGGATTATAATGTACATTTACCCAATGTTATAATCCAATGTGCCCTTAAAAAGTTATTTGGGGCCCTGTTGAGTAATGGGCCGTGCCTCATGGTACTCCTGCTTGATGCTACTTTATCATTCAATGAAATACTATACTTGTAGTCAAAGAAAATATCTTTTTAAGAGGAAAATCCTAGTCTATTAACAACTCAACAAAACCTCCCAAACAACTGTTCTTAGTGGAAAAGATGGCACTATCACATCCACAGTTCACCAGGACCACTACTTCCATTCCCATTTGTGTGCTGATTCACTTTACCTCTTAATATATCTGTCCACTTCTCTGCTACCTCCCTTGTCCTGAATTACTGGCAGCTAGTTTGGGCATCTGTTCTTGCTCCACTTTCTCGGACCTGTTTTCCATACCTTCACCAAGTGAATTTTGAAGATGTAAAGCAGATTGTTGCACACCTGATTTATACCCTTTCATAGTTTCCCATTGTTCTTATGATGAAGTTCTTATGAAGAAGTTCCTTAACATGGTATTAAGTCCCTTCCTACTTCACTAGCTTCACTTGTAAAATTTCAATTTCTCCTTGGAGTTACATGCATAGAGCCTTCCTTCAGTTTCTCAATGCCACATGTATCTCACACCTTTACACGTGCTGTTCTCTTTCTATGTGGTTCCTTCTTTTCTTTCAATTAATTTTTTCTCACCCTTCAAGGTTTTCAACAATTTATCCTCAAGTAAACCTTCCAAAGTCCCTTTCCCTAAATTAAGCCAATCCCCTGTTGTAATCTCATGGCATTATATAATTCCTCATAGCACTTTTTAAATCTGTAATTGCAAAGCAATTTGTATGTTTTTTATTATATCTCCATTGCCTGGTACTGTTGATGCTCAACACAATTTTGTTAACTATATGAAGAATAACTATATTGCAATGCTTGTTAAAGCAAACTAGAACATGTCCCAGTTTTCTTTAAGAGGAAATATTAAAGTCAATGTTGTAAGAATGCAGGTTCATTTTATGGCATGTTGCTTTATTATGCTTCATAGATACTATGTTTGTTTGTTTATTTGTTTTTACAAATTGAAGGCTTGTGGAAACCCTGTAATAAGGCTAGTCTGTCAGTGCCATTTTTCTAAAAATATGTGCTTATGTCATGTGTCTATGTCACATTTTCATAATTCTCACAATATTTCAAACTTATTACACAATTAATAGTATATTTACACTCATAGTATAAACATAGCTTTTATATGCACTAAGAAACATAAAAATTTATACAACTTGCATTATTGTGATATTTGCTTTATTGCAATGGTTTCAAACCAGACCCACAATATGACTGTATTGGGATTCAGAGTGGTTAATCTGAGAAATATCCTATGTCTTATAGTCTTGTGGGGAAGGTTTTACATGAAAAAAATATATATGCCCTAACCCTTAAAGAAAGAGAATTCTAGAAAATAAAAATGTTTGATAGTGCTCCTCTTACCATAATGTTTTCAACCAGCTGACTTTGGGTTCTAAGCACCAATATAGTGTAGTGACATTTCATAAATAGGGTTTCTTTCACAGAAGCCAGACACTTGCACACAACATATACCACTAGAGGGCACTATAGAGGGGCATTCAACTAAAACTTGTTCTTCAAAGTATTAGTAAGCTGTTCAATCTTGGAAGTGAAGGACTTACTCTCAATTTAATTTTCTGGAAGTGCATCAAATAAAGATTAGTAATTGAGTTATGGAAATTGAGGTTATAGAAATCCTTTGGTATTATGAAGAAAATATTACTACTAATAATAGTTAACTCTCATTGAGTATGCAGTGAATACTTTCATTACCAAATTAATATACCCAGTATATGAGAGTTAGGTGCTATTGTTTTATACATTTTACAATGAATAGATAAGTTCAGAAAAATGAAGTAATTTATCCAATAAGAAATAAATCAGGATTTGAACGAAGAGCAGAGAACAAAGAGGTGCTTGGCCAACCTGGCTAAAGTGACTGTGGGTGCAGCAAAACTAGGAGTGCCAAGGTCCAACCTGGGTGAGCCCACCTTTTAGCTGAGTCCAAACACTAATGTGTGAAGCTTCAAAATGACCTGCTTAGCTGGAGAGTAATGTGTAATGGAGCACTGTGAATCTAGAAAGGAAGGCTGGGGCCAGATTTTGCCAAATTAAAATGTTTTTAATGCTAAATTAATGTGTTTGCATTTTATCCTTTATATCTTAAGCAATGATGAACTCTATATAGTTGTTTAGATCATATAGTATATCTCATAAAATAGATGAAGAGTATAGTGTATAGAAAAGTGTGCCCATTGCAGTGCTAAGAACCCTCTGGACACTTGTAGAAATTCATTAGAATAGAAAACTAGAGGAGGAGAAAGAGTAAAAAACAAATAGCCCTGCTCTTGGAAATAAAATAAGATCCAGATCACTGACATTCTAAGAACCGCTTTCTTAAAAAAAAAATCTATCAGTGATTTCTTTAAGCTGCTTTGGGACTCTTACAGTAAGGCCAACAGCAATGGAATTAAGTTCCTTTTCCCCCTTAAATGCTCTTTAATAAGTATGAATTACATTTAGAATCTCCCTAAAGAGTTTTTTAATATATGGGAGTTTTTAGATAACCATGAGAATTTTCCAGTATATGTAGATTCATATAAATGCACATTTTTAAAAAATTCTATAATCTAATTTTACAGGTCAATAAATAAAGTGTCAGAGAGGTCAAATGGTTGTCATTTGACACTATATAAAATACTAATGACAGCGTAATTACCTGTCATGGGCATGGAGATGGCTGTCTATTTTCATTTGTCATGTTGGTTTTCTTAATAACAAAGTTACAAGCAATAGTGCTTATTCAGAAGTGAAAGAAAATGGCTTCTGACGTATCTAAGAGGAGACTGTCATTAACAGAAATTGCTTGAGATTGCTAAGCAATAAAGTAGGAATAATATGAAGTTTGTGTTCTCCCATGAAAAAACTTGAATGATTTTTATATTCTTTACTTAAACATGGGGAATAATAGCATTGGAAACATTCATCATAAAACAATATGATCTTGTGATTCTCATCTCACCCTCTTCTGATGTGTCTCTCAAATTCAAGTTCCTAATCAGGCTTTTAGTTGTTAGAGTGTCAAGTGCTTCAAATGAATACTTAAACCTAAATTACAAGTAAGTGGTAAGATTTGCAAGTTCTCTTCTCTGAAATGAGTACTTCCTCCCCTCCTTTGCATATTTGAGGAAATGCTACCTCACATGGATCTTAGACTGTCCCTTCAAAGGGAAGAATGGGAAGCCTGTTATTACAAATGGAATTCTAGTAAACAGAGAAGATGAGGTAAAAACATTTTTGATATCTGCTTGCTAGTTAATGCTAGATATATACAAATGACAGAGCCTTTGCCTTTTAGCAACCAACAGCCTGTGAGGTTAAGATATACAGATTTGGGGCCTCCCCAGTGGAGCAGCGGTTGAGCGCTGGGTTGCGAAGCTGCCCGCGGCCTCTGCGGCGCCGGTTCGATCCCCGGCTGCTCCCCGGCCACGGGAGGAGGGTCCCACATGGCGCGCAGACCTCTCCTGCCGCCCGCTGCTCCCCTCAGCAGTGTACCTCTCTGGCTCTGGTGAATTCTCACCCTCCCGTGCTTCTGACTGTACCCAGTGCATATATATAAACAAAACAAACAAAAAAATAAATGAATAAATAAAAACATGCCTCTCTAAAAAAAAAAAAAATTAAAAAAAAAGATATACAGATTTGTAAACCACTACTGAAGCTGTAAGTGAAGGGATTACATTGGAGGTACATATTATAGATAGATTCATTCTTCCTGGGAGAGGAAAACTTCATAATAGAAAATGTTACAGACAACTGGGCAGAAGGATTAGGGAGGTGGTGGGAGGAGTCAAAAAATGCTCAGTTGAACCATTCTAATAAGATGTTTCGTGTATATGAGGTATATTTGCACTTGTGTGCACACACACACAGGTGAGAAAGGGAGAGCAGTGGGGTAGATAATTTATGATCATACTTTACAAGGAATCAAAGCAATCATGGGAAAAGGGCTCCCACTAATATTTTAAGAAACATTTA